TTTCAAAGTTCTTGAAATGTTCCATATTGACTGACCTTCATGTCTTAAAGTAATGATTGACTGTCGTTTCTCTTTGCTTATTTGACCTGTTCTTGTCATAATATGGACTTGGTCTTTTACCAAATAGGGCTATCTTCTGTATACCCCCCCTACCTTGTCACAGCACAACTGATTGGCTCAAATGCATTAAGAAGGAAATAAATTCCACAAATTAACTTTTAAAGAAGGCACACTTGTTAATTCAAATGCATTCCAGGTGACTACCTCATGAAGCTAGTTTAGAGAATGCCAAGCGTGTGCAAAGCTGTCATCAAGGCAAAGGGTGGCTATTTGAAGAATCTCAAATATAAAATATATTTTGATTTGGTTAACACCTTTTTGGTTACTACATGATTCCATATGTGTTATTTCATAGTTTTGATGTCTTCACTATTATTCTACAAAGTACAATGTTTTACAAATACAGAAAAACCCTTGAATGAGCAGGTGTGTCCAAACTTTTGACTGGTAGTGTGCAGTTGTGGTCAAAAGTTTTGAGAATGACACAAATACTGATTTTCACAAAGTCTACTGCCTCAGTTTTTATTATTGTAATTTGCATATACTCCAGAATGTCATGAAGCGTGATCAGATGAATTGCAATTAATTGCAAAGTCCCTCTTTGCCAAAAAAAACTTTTCCACTGCATTTCAGCCCTGCCACAAAAGGACCAGCTGACATCATGTCAGTGATTCTGTCGTTAACACAGGTGAGAGTGTTGATGAGGACAAGGCTGGAGATCACTCTGTCATGCTGATTGAGTTAGAATAACAGACTGGAAGCTTTAAAAGGAGGGTGGTGCTTGAAATCCTTGTTCTTCCTCTGTTAACCATGGTTATCTGCAAGGAAACACGTGCCGTCATCATTGCTTTGCACAAAAAGGGCTTCACAGACAAGGATATTGCTGCTAGTAAGATTGCACCTAAATCAACCATTTATCGGATCATCAAGAACTTCAAGGAGAGAGGTTCAATTGTTGTGAGAAGGCGCCAGGACCGTCTCCTAAAGTTGATTCAGCTGCGGGATCGGGGCACCACCAGTGCAGAGCTTGCTCAGGAATGGCAGCAGGCAGGTGTGAGTGCATCTGCACGCACAGTGAGGCGAAGACTTTTGGAGGATGGCCTGGTGTCAAGAAGGGCAGAAAAGAAGCCACTTCTCTCTAGGAAAAACATCAGGGACAGACTGATATTCTGCAAAAGGTACAGGGATTGGACTGCTGAGGACTGGGGTAAAGTCATTTTCTCGGATTAATCCCCTTTCCGATTGTTTGGGGCATCCGGAAAACACCTTGTCCGGAGAAGACAAGGTGAGCGCTACCATCAGTCCTGTGTCATGCCAACAGTAAAGCATCCTGAGACCATTCATGTGTGGGGTTTCTTCTCAACCAAGGGAGTGGGCTCACTCACAATTTTGCCTAAGAACACAGCCATGAATAAAGAATGGTACCAACACATCCTCCAAGAGCAACTTCTCCCAACCATCCAAGAACAGTTTGGTGACGAACAATGCCTTTTCCAGCATGATGGAGCACCTTGCCATAAGGCAAAAGTGATAACTAAGTGTCTCGGGGAACAAAACATCGAAATTTTGGGTCCATGGCCAGGAAACTCCCCAGACCTTAATCCCATTGAGAATTTGTTGTCGATCCTCAAGAGGCAGGTGGTGACAAATTCCAAGCATTGATTATGCAAGAATGGGCTGCCATCAGTCAGGATGTGGCCCAGAAGTTAATTGACAGCATGCCAGGGTGGATTGCAGAGGTCTTGAAAAAGAAGGGTCAACACTGCAAATATTGACACTTTGCATAAACGTAATATAATTGTCAATAAAAGCCTTTGACACTTATGGAATGCTTGTAATTATACTTCAGTATACCATAGTAACATCTGACAAAAATATCTCATAACACTGAAGCAGCGAACTTTGTGAAGACCAATACTTGTGTCATTCTCAAAACTTTTGACCACGACTGTATATAAAAATATATATAGAATTTGGCCTTTACAACTATAGCCCATAGAAACACATTGAATAACACATTCCTAATTGGCGAAACACAGTCAAAAAATAAATCATAAGGAATAAGGTTTTGAAGTGTCTGTCCTATGTCTAGGAGATATAAGAAAGCTCAGGATTTTGTTGTTGATTTTGGACACATATTTAACCCCTTTATTTTGTTGGTACAAAACTACCACTATACTTCCATTTATATTTTTTTGTTGCAAATCCCGTTACAGTTGTGGGGGAGCAAAACGAGAGTCTCCCTTTTCCACAGTGGGGTGATATTCAGTTGTAGACCAAACGGTTCGGATGCTACAGACAGAAGTTGGCACATCGGTGGTACCGACTTCAGACGAGTCCCGTGGGGGTCGTAGAGAAAAACAGAGAACACTTTCCAAAGAGTGGTAATATTACTTATTAGGCCAAACCGTTCGGCACAGATGTTTTTGTAAACCGACCGGTTTTCGGGATGTCTCCTGGTCTGACAAAGAGGACTGTAGCTCTGCCACTTTCCACCACATATGCGGAAGGCTGACTTAGGCGGATGCGGTGGATTGAGACACAGCCCATGCAAAAAAACTGATCTCTCTATATCTCTCTCTTAAACTGACAGATTTGTCTTTTATTTTTATTTTTTTATGTTAATTAGATTGACGCATGGGTGCGCAATGTGTCTTAAAACCCAATTGTGTTCCATAGAGAGTGCAGATTGAGGCGTAACTGGTTCACTGCTTTGAGCCACAGGAGCCATTTTGGATCTGATTATTCATGGTAGTTAGTGTACTGATGTTCCACCAGGAGGGAGCCATTTTGGATCTGATTATTCATGGTAGCTACTGTACCGATGTTCAACCAGGAGCAAGCCATTTTGGATCTGATTATTCATGGTAGCTACTGTTCTGACGTTCCACCAGGAGGGAGCGATTTTGGATCTGATTATTTATGGTAGCTACTGTACTGATGTTCCAGCAGGAGCAAGCCATTTTGGATCTGATTATTCATGGTAGCTACTGTACTGATGTTCCACGGCTGCCGTGAACCCTCTCATTAGGTCAGAAAGTGTTGCCTTTTAATCACGCTGAGAGAAGAGTCCCCAAACTCTTCCTCTGTGCTCTTCTGCTCTACAATGAAAAAAGGGAAAACATTGCTGCCTGGTAGAAGAGGTGCAATGTTTGCCCAATTAGATAACCGAGGTGGAGTGTTTTCTCTGATATGACCAGCTATCGGCTAGATTTAAGTCTGAGTTGTTCTGGGCTAGACAGCGTTTCCAGGACTATCGATTATAATTTTGCAGTGGGTAAACGACTCCCTGTGGGATCTCCTAGGCAACTGGACCGGGGCCAAGCCGCTGAGCATCTAACTGACTTTAATGCAGGTAGGCCTATAAATCCCCATTCTAATCAAGTTTTTTCAAATTTGCGGGCGAGGTGATAAGTCACCCATGCCATGCCCCTCACATTTCCGTTAATCAAGCTCTTTCACGGCAACCTAATGAATAGAGTATTGATGCCATATGATTTATATTGTAGCCTACCTTTTAATGCAGCATCTTAATTGTATTTTTTTTTAACAAACTATCTGTTTTCATGACTACAGAGACGGAGACTGTCTATATAGGCACAAGAAAACAGGTGCCATTTGGGGTCAAGGGTTTGTCATAGATTCTAGGAGAAACTTGAAACAGGACAGTTAGATGGTAGCATTTTTACTCTACACAGAGCATGCGCAGAATGAAAAGTCAGACATAATTATGGGTAGGATGAAATGATACCACACCCTATCATATTTAACACAGTCATTTTCAAAAGCAGCTCCTTTTCATGACTTCAAACTTCAAGAAAACAGCAGAAGAAGACAAGTGCCATTTGGGTTCAGTGGTTCGTCATAGCTAATATCAATTCTTCCCCAGGACCACCTTCAAGTCTTTATTATGTTTTGTTACTAAGGGGAATTATGAGTTAATGGGTGAGAAAAGGGAGAGCAATTATCGTTAATTGGCGATTAATACCTATTCAAGTTTAATTTAAACATGCCTAAGCTCTTTAATAGGATATAATAGGATAATCCTGTACCGCTTTGAAAGAGTTGTATTTTCACAAAACCAATGTCATGTACAGTCACTAAACACTAATAACACATCAAATAAATGCATGGGAAAGTAAAACAGGCGTGGTTGTCATTTTCCAGATGCCTCTGTCCACATAGCCAAATAAATATTTAATGGGTATTGTGTAGCAGGTTGGAAAACAGCCACGGAGCCAAAAGAGGATGAGTGGAGCTATTGACTTCAGAAACGACCCGCTGGAAAACCTACAGAGCCATATTCATGCCAACCCATCTATTCTATTCATGAGGCAGTGACCTGTCAGGGGTGGGGGAGGAGAGGGATGGAGGGAGGAGGCCCACCTGCTCCATTCAGCCTCTTAAGATGTTGCCAGGAGATCAAACCCCTCCCTCCCTCATCCTTCTTTTCTTCTCTTTCAGGGGCGGTAAGTACAGTAGGTGCGGTTGTCATATTGACCAGGCTTGTGACCCAGTTTCTTCCAGTGTTATTACCAGGATAAGTTGGAAGATGAATGAAGACCCTGAACAAAAGGCTCCTGCTCCTGTATCCACCTACAACAGGAAATAGAGGAGGAATAACTAGGACTCCAGCGAATGCATGTCATTTTTTTTCCCTGCACCAAAGACTAACTGCATACCACAAATGGTTTCATCTCCCATGCCCTGTGAATCAGGGATGGTGGCATGTCGCTAAGTAGCAATGTTCTGTTATCTCCGACAACCAACAGAGACATCTCATGCTTTTCGATAATGCTGATTTCAATTCACCTAGACACTGGTACAAATTTCTGAAATGGAAAGATAATTCCCAAACAATAGGGAGGTATATTAGAGCTAAATGAATGGTATTGTTGAATAAATTCCACGGAAGCTCAGTGTATATTGTTTACAACCCTGAGGGCCCCATGAAGGTAGAGCCGCTTGCCGCACACTGTTTTCACAGGGCCAGTTTGACAGTTAGCATCATGACACTTAGCAGCCGCAGTGACCGTTTTCTGTTTCTCCCTCTTGACTCTCTCCTCCATTCCCTCCCTCCCTTTCTCATTCCCTTTCTGCCCTCCCTCTCTCTCTCTCTCTCTCACTCTGTTTCTTTTTGTCTTTCTAGGCCTCACATGGTGACAGAGTACATGGGTATCAGGAACGAGAGCTTCATGAAGATTGCAGCAGTAGGGACGTGGATGGGGGACTTTGTGACTGCATGGATGGTAAGAGAACTACCATGTGTACCCAGTAGTAGGCCAACACTGATTAGAGTCAACTAGAATATAAGCACAAAGAGAGAGAGAGAGAGAGAGAGAGAGAGAGAGAGAGAGAGAGAGAGAGAGAGAGGAGAGAGAGAGAGAGAGAAGAGAGAGAGAGAGTGAGAGAGAGAGAGATGCGGAGTCGCGGAGGAGAGATATCGCAGAGATATCTAGGCTCTCGACTAGACGAGAGCTCGATCTCTCGTCTCTCGTCTCTCTCTTCTTCTCTGCTCTCCTCTATCGCTCCTCTCTCTTCTCTCTCTCTCTCTCTCCTCGCTCTCCGCTGCTCTCTCTCCTCTCTCTCTTTCTCTCTCTCTCTCTCTCTCTCTCTCTCTCTCCTCTCTCTCTCTCTCTCTCTCTCCGTCTTCTCTTACTTCTTCTCCTCTCTCTCTCTCTCTCTCTCTCTCTTCTCCTCTCTCTCGTTCCCCTAAGAGAGAACTACAATGCTATTTGGCCCTAACCAGAGAATACACAGTGGCAGAATATGTGACTGACCCAAACTTAAGGAAAGCTTTGACTATGTACAGACTCAGTGAGCATAGCCTTGCTATTGACAAAGGCGCCGTAGGCAGACCTGGCTCCCAAGAGAACACAGGCTATGTGCACAATTAGGTGTAAACTGAGCTTAACCTCCTGCCAAATGTATGACCATATTAGAGACACATATTTCCCTTAGATTACAGAGATCCACAAAGAATTCGAAAACAAACCCAATTTTGATAAACTCCCTTATCTACTGGGTGAAAAACCACAGTGTGACATCACAGAAGCAAGATCTGTGACCTGTTGCCACAAGAAAAGGGCAACCAGTGAAGAACAAACCATTGTAAATACAACCCATATTTACCCATTATTTATTTACCCATTTGTACTTTAACTATTTGCACATTGTTACAACACTGTATATAGACATAATATGACATTTGAAATGTCTTTATTCTTTTGGAACTTCTGAGTGTAATGTTTACTGTTAATATTTATTGTTTATTTCACTTTTGTTTACTATCTACTTCACTTGCTTTGGCAATGTTAACATATGTTTCCCATGACAATAAAGCCCTTACATCTGGCTTTTATATATATATATATTTTTTTTACAGTTGATTAATTCAACAAGGCACTTTCAAGATGACCTCTGTGTGTCTCCTCCTCGACAGAGCAGATATTTCGAATGTGTCATCGGTAGATGAGTGAGCAAGAAATTTGTGTTTTTGTAACACTGCTCATGACAGAAATAATTCAATGATTTTCTCAACTGTGGTGGTCATGAAGTTTTATCAGCCAATGATTGTCAAGCAAATAACAGCCGGTCTCACATTAATTGATCGTTAATTATCATAAACACGTTTAGCATCTTCTGGCTTCCACGCATAGCCTACAAGCCACTGATGCAGACCTACATTTAAAAAAGTCTAATAAATCCATTAAATATAGCCTACATCATCACAATAAATCCATTATTTATTTTAGACAGGTCTAAAGAAACATGATATGAAGAAAATGTAGTTATTTCCGAAGAACAGAATAGCATACCGTAGCCCTGCCATGTGGCTTTGGGCTACGGTAGTTCATTTAGCAGACAAGATTTGCTTAGAATTCCGTGGCATTATTTTATAGTATGAAGAATACAATTGAACATAGCTGAATAAAATAGAAAGGATATTTTCTCCAAATGATTTCCGAGGGAGTGCGCACATGCGGCTAGCACTTGATAATATTCTCACCAGGCCTCCAATTTCACGGTAGCATCCCCCTTGTGTGGCCGTAATGCCCCCTAAAAAATCCATGCCTTCTGTGGCCGTTGTGCCCTTGGTCTGAATATAATAATTATAGCCTAATTCCCTTCTCATGGCTGCCAATCGCCGTGCTCCGAAGCACCTCTCACTCACATGGCTCTCTCAGATATCTAAATTCTTATTAGCCATTGCCCGTCACGTGATAGGGTCTTTCTTACAGGCATCTCAGTTCCGAAGTAGGCTACAAGTGAAGACAGACACATCTGGGACGCAACTGCGTGCGTCCTTCTTATCGAATTCCAAGGTGCATACTGTCAACATTTTACTTTTTGTCAGTCAACAAGATGAGTAGGCCTATCGAACAGCAAAAGCACTAGCCTATGTCAATCTACTATCCCCATAGCACAAAAGTTGACCTATTCTATTGGTCAACTTGTCCTTCTGTGCGAGAAATAAATATTCCAGACATACTCTGGGACAGTTGTGGGATACATTAGATCCCAAATTAATACAACCACTCTCATAAAAAAAAACGTTTAAAAGCAATGAGGCTGATGAAACAGATCAGAGCGTTTAGCTTAAAATGTTGATAATCTATTAGGCTATTTCTTCAAAATAATAAGCGCAGTAATGCTCACACGGCAGTAAAGTCGCCTTAAAAAGGCTTGCGCTGTTTCTTGTCTTACTGCAAACACTGGGCATGATAATACATAATTCACAAGTGATAGGTTAATATTGTTACCCATCAAAATATTCTTAATCTAATCTTGTCTTTACATATATACTAAAGCATATATGTGTGAAATTAGTTTTGCTTTAGAATGGACCATTATCATGCACCTGTCTCGGAACAGGGGCAGGGGGAAAAATACATGTCATCTGTTCACTTAAATAGCGAATGGAGGATGCTTTTCCCGTGGTTCATTTTCATGCCAGCCAAGTAGGCTATACTCCTCTTGTAAAGCGAATTAAGTGCTTAATATTAGGAATGTTGAGAAATAAATATAGTAGGCCTAGCCTATAGAAAGCTGATGGGATCCTCCTCTTTTTAATAGAGGCCACCAAAACTCTTTTTTTCTCGAGCAATTGCATAGCCTATAGAAATGTTGTGCAACATGAGCTCATGGGTTCTCATTAAGTGTTTGGTTTGGTTTTCGATTACATTTGCATTGATGTCAGAGAGATTAGAGGGACAATAGAGTGCTGAGTACCAGGCAGTTAGCAAGTTTGGTAGGATACTAATGACCATCAGCAGCATCAGAGCTTGGAGAAGCCTAGTTAACGTGACTAAACGGTCACGTGGAATTTGACTGCAGTCATAACTCGTGACCACCGGTGTGGCGTTAATATGGTCACCGTAACAGCCCTATTCTCAACCAAATCTTTCTCCACTCTTATCTGCCTGAAGGAGATGTGGCCTGCTGACAAATTACCCTCGCCTCAATGAAGTACCTTCTTTGAACGTCTGGATTTGCATAGTTGTGTATTACAACCCTTTAAAATCTAAATTAATGTTGATCGAAAAGATTACTTTTAATGATTGACTGTATAGCATAGGAATATAAACAAAGCAATGCCATTTGAATTGATTATGCCATTCCATTGCGGTGTTCCATAGGCAGAATGGCAAATTCTAACCATCCATTTTGACATAATGAAATAACACAAGCTCAATCCCGTATGAATGTGATTCTTTGATTTAATTTGAGCCTCATTCAGAGATCACTCAAAAATGAATGATAACTGGAAACGCCATCTCAGTTTGATGTTAGTTTATTTCACCCTCACACATGTCACATGTTAAGTTAACCTGTTTTATTCCCAGGTCACTGACATGATGCTCCAGGACCAGCACTACCCAGACTGGGGCAAAGCTGCCAGAAGGTTCTGGAAACAAGGCAACCACAGGATCGTCCTCTTCTGGTACGTTCTATTCTGCAGTCTAATGCATTTACAGTATGCTGCCTCTGAGCCCGATCAATGTGTGTGTGTGTGTGCATGCTGGGGATTATGAGTATGTGTGTGTGGGTGCTAGGGTTCATGAGTATGTGTGAGTGCATTAGAATGCATATATTCATTAATGTATCGGTATTCAGACAAAGCCCTTTGTGAATCGGAGGTGTGACACTGTGCTCCTCTGGCTGTGTGCTGCCTGTATCTGTGCTCCTCGTGGGGTTACACACATTAACACACAGTCAATAGCCCTGTTAATCTTCCTCCGTTTAGTGTCAGCACCTTTAATTAGAAGAACAGGAAGAGGAAATCAATGGACACAGCAAGGTCACGGGGCCAGCTAGACCCCTGCCTTTACACACACACACACACACACACACACACAAAAAATATATATAAAAAAGAAATATATATATATATACAGTGAGGGAAAAAAGTATTTGATCCCCTGCTGATTTTGTACGTTTGCCCACTGACAAAGAAATGATCAGTCTATAATTTTAACAGTAGGTTTATTTGAACAGTGAGAGAGAGAATAACAACAACAAAATCCAGAAAAACGCATGTCAAAAATTTTATAAATTGATTTGCATTTTAATGAGGGAAATAAGTATTTGACCCCCTCTCAATCAGAAAGATTTCTGGCTCCCAGGTGTCTTTTATACAGGTAACGAGCTGAGATTAGGAGCACACTCTTAAAGGGAATAATCCTAATCTCAGTTTGTTACCTGTATAAAAGACACCTGTCCACAGAAGCAATCAATCAATCAGATTCCAAACTCTCCACCATGGCCAAGACCAAAGAGCTCTCCAAGGATGTCAGGGTCAAGATTGTAGACCTACACAAGGCTGGAATGGGCTACAAGACCATCGCCAAGCAGCTTGGTGAGAAGGTGACAACAGTTGGTGCGATTATTCACAAATGGAAGAAACACAAAATAACTGTCAATCTCCCTCGGCCTGGGGCTCCATGCAAGATCTCACCTCGTGGAGTTGCAATGATCATGAGAACAGTGAGGAATCAACCCAGAACTACACGGGAGGATCTTGTCAATTATCTAAAGGCAGCTGGGACCATAGTCACCAAGAAAACAATTGGTAACACAATACGCCGTGAAGGACTGAAATCCTGCAGCGCCCGCAAGGTCCCCCTGCTCAAGAAAGCACATATACAGGCCCGTCTGAAGTTTGCCAATGAACATCTGAATGATTCAGAGGAGAACTGGGTGAAAGTGTTGTGGTCAGATGAGACCAAAATGGAGCTCTTTGGCATCAACTCAACTCGCCGTGTTTGGAGGAGGAGGAATGCTGCCTATGACCCCAAGAACATCATCCCCACCGTCAAACATGGAGGTGGAAACATTATGCTTTGGGGGTGTTTTTCTGCTAAGGGGACAGGACAACTTCACCGCATCAAAGGGACGATGGACGGGGCCATGTACCGTCAAATCTTGGGTGAGAACCTCCTTCCCTCAGCCAAGGCATTGAAAATGGGTCGTGGATGGGTATTCCATCATGACAATGACCCAAAACACACGGCCAAGCCAACAAAGGAGTGGCTCAAGAAGAAGCACACTAAGGTCCTGGAGTGGCCTAGCCAGTCTCCAGACCTTAATCACATAGAAAATCTGTGGAGGGAGCTGAAGGTTCGAGTTGCCAAACGTCAGCCTCAAAACCTTAATGACTTGGAGAAGATCTGCAAAGAGGAGTGGAACAAAATCCCTCCTGAGATGTGTGCAAACCTGGTGGCCAACTACAAGAAACGTCTGACCTCTGTGATTGCCAACAAGGGTTTTGCCACCAAGTACTAAGTCATGTTTTGCAGAGGGGTCAAATACTTATTTCCCTCATTAAAATGCAAATCAATTTATAACATTTTTGACATGCGTTTTTCTGTTTTTTTTTGTTGTTATTCTGTCTCTCACTGTTCAAATTAACCTACCATTAAAATTATAGACTGATCATGTCTTTGTCAGTGGGCAAACGTACAAAATCAGCAGGGGATCAAATACTTTTTTCCCTCACTGTATATATATATATATATAAACTCAGCAAAAAAAGAAATGTCCCTTTTTCAGGACCCTGTCTGTGATGAGGTGTGAATGAAGGAGTCAGGCGCAGGAGGTAAAACACCGAAGTCCAGAGTTTATTCCGTTTACATAAATAAAACGCACCCAGCGTCAATACGAAACTATCACAAGGGAAATATTCCACCTTGGCAATAACAAATGGAAGAGTACAACCGAGCTACTCGCTCTCACAATGAAACAATCACTCACAAAGACAAGGGGAACAGAGGGAACACTTATACACATACTAATTAGGGGAATGAGCACCAGGTGTGTGTGATTGACAAGACAAGACATGATAAGTGGAGTGATGAGAATGGGATCGGCAGTAGCTAGTAAGCCGGTGACGACGAAGGCCGAAACCTGCCCGAACAAGGAGGGGAGGCAGCCTCGGCGGAAGTCGTGACACTGTCTTTCAAAGATAATTCGTAAAAATCCAAATAACTTCACAGATCTTCATAGTATAAAGGGTTTAAACACTGTTTCATCATGCTTGTTCAATGAACCATAAACAATTAATGAACATGCACCTGTGGAACGGTCGTTAAGACACTAACAGCTTACAGACGGTAGGCAATTAAGGTCACAGTTATGAAAACTTAGGACACTAAAGAGGCCTTTCTACTGACTCTGAACAACACCAAAAGAAAGATGCCCAGGGTCCCTGCTCATCTGCGTGAACATGCCTTAGGCATGCTGCAAGGAGGCATGAGGACTGCAGATGTGGCCAGGGCAATAAATTGCAATTTCCGTACTGTGAGACGCCTAAGACAGCGCTACAGGGAGACAGGACGGACAGCTGATTGTCCTCGCCGTGGTAGACCACGTGTAACAACACCTGCACAGGATCTTTCCATCAGTGCTCAGACTGTCCGCAATAGGCTGAGAGAGGCTGGACTGAGGGCCTGTAGGCCTGTTGTAAGGCAGGTCCTCACCAGACATCACCGGCAACAACGTCACTTATGGGCACAAACCCACCGTCGCTGGACCAGACAGGACTGGCAAAAAGTGTTCTTCACTGACGAGTCGCGGTTTTGTCTCACCAGGGGTGATGGTCAGATTCGCGTTTATCGTTTAAGGAATAAGCGTTACACCAAGGCCTGTACTCTGGAGCGGGATCGATTTGGAGGTGGAGGGTCCGTCATGGTCTGGGGTGGTGTGTCACAGCATCATCGGACTGAGCTTGTTGTCATTGCAGGCAATCTCAATGCTGTGTGTTACAGGGAAGACATCCTCCTCCCTCATGTGGTACCCTTCCTGCAGGCCCATCCTGACATGACCCTCCAGCATGACAATGCCACCAGCCATACTGCTCGTTCTGTGTGTGATTTCTTGCAAGACAGGAATGTCAGTGTTCTGCCATGGCCAGCGAAGAGCCCAGATCTCAATCCCATTGAGCACGTCTGGGACCTGTTGGATCGGAGGGTCAGGGCTAGGGCCATTCCCCCCAGAAATGTCCGGGAACTTGCAGGTGCCTTGGTGGAAGAGTGGGGTAACACCAGATACTGACTGTTACTTTTGATTTTGCTTGTGTTGCTGGCTCCTAACAGTGCAGTAAAAATGTCCAAAAAGTACACAAATAATCCAAAACAAGAAATCAAGAATGTCCGAACAAATCCAATTAACAACCCAAAAAACACTATCAGTAATCCAAATGCAATCTATGCGTATAAACCCAAAAATATATATGTACAGCAGTAGATATATTACAGTGAGCTATGTCAACAATCAAGTATATAAATATGCAGTGTGTATAAACAGTGTAACAGAAATCCAATGTACAGTAGTAGATCTATGCCCCTAATGGTGGTCATTGGACAGGACACTAGGTTCACTACTGGAATGGGGATATTTGAGCTTATGTATAAACATCAACATGTGTTGGAGTAGTGTGGTATTATCTGAGCGTTACGATTTGTAAATGACCAATAAATGGAAATTCAAAGCCACACTCTTCAATGTATTATGTTTCCCATAGAATTGATTGTGCCTCTATTAGGATGCAGGATGTCAAACTATAATCTCTGTGGCTCCTCCGGAATCCTTTTGTCTTATTGATGAATGCCCCCAGTCTGACTGTCACAAACAATTTGTACTCGGGGGGGAAAAAGTATGATTTGTACATCTCAAATACTGGGGAGAAAGTATGATTAATAAATATGTATCTTGACATTATGCGGCAAAGAATCTGGGTAAATCACAAATGACAATCTGGACTGGAGGGGAAAGAATCCACTTTAGATTTCTAAAATACAAACTGTGTCTCACAACATTTGAAATATGATATGATGAACTTGGTGCGAGCTATCGGCAATGCAGCCAGTCACCATGGGGATGCAACAACCCACACAACACCAGCGTAATAATTGCTGAATGACATTGAAACAAGTAGAAAGAGGAGCCAAATATAGTTTGCTAAATCCAAAGTCCATAACACACTGATAAACATCAAATGAAACCTAACAGAATTATAAACCATAATCAATATTTACATAAACCTATGATAACTTCCTGTTATAATTATATTGTTGTTATGTACTTTAGAGAAACGAGCAGAAGACAAAGTATTGTGGTCCGCCCTAAAAAATTGACTAATAAAGTGGTAATTAGTAAATCTGTGAAGTGTCCCAGGTTATTAACAGGAAAGTAATGCGGTTTTACTTCCTGTCTCCTCCAGGACGGTCCTGATCACTCTGACATCGGTGGTGTTGCTGGTCATCAGTACAGACTGGATCAGCTGGGACAACCTGAACCGGGGATTTCTGCCTAGCGACGAGGTCTCCAGGGCCTTCCTGGTATCCTTCATCCTGGTCTTTGACCTGCTCATTGTCATGCAGGTAGGGGCTCCCCCATGGCCAATTAAAAACTAGCTGGGCTCCTATACTCTCCCCTTCCTTTTCCTTTATCTCTCCCCTTCCCCACCCCTCCCTCAGCCACAGGGGCACTGTGGTACTGGGTTGAGAGAGTGGGAGATATTTAATCAGTCTGAGCCTGCATGTCTACAAACCCCACTGCTTCTGCTTCACATCTCTACCCCTCATCTGCCCATCCCATCATCCACTCAGCCATCCAAACATCCTACCATCCATCCAGCCAGACTTCAGGCAAGGACCTAAACCCTCTCTCCTCCTCCGTGAACCTTTTTCCCACCCAATGTTCTCCATCCCACAGGAGACTATACATAAATGAAGTGTTTGTCAGTGGCATACTCATGAATATGCAAATATTTTGTCTGGGTAGAAAATGCATAGCAGTGTTTCAAAGAGAAAAGGCTTTCAAACCAGTAGCTCCAAGCTAAATGCAGACCGGTTGGTTTGAAACGCAAGCTGGATTTAGTATGGCTTCTGCTAATGTTTAATGAACATACTTTTGTATATATAGTGTATGTGGACACCCCTTCAAATTAGTGGATTCGGCAATTTTAGCCACACCCGTTGCTGACAGGTGTATAAAATCGAGCACACAGCCATGAAATCTCCATAGACAAACACTGGCAGTAGAATGGCCCATACTGAAGAGCTCAGTGACTTTCAACGTGGCACCGTTATACTAGAGCTGCCCCGGTCAACTGTAAGTGCTGTTATTGTGAAGTGGAACATTCTAGGAGCAACAACGGCTCAGCCGCAAAGTGGTAGGCCACATAAGCTCACAGAATGGGACCGCCGAGTGCTGAATTGTGTAGCGCGTAAAAATTGTCTGTCCTCGGTTGCAACACTCACTACTGAGTTCCAAACTGCCTATGGAAGCAACGTCAGCACAAGAACTGTTCGCCGGGAGCTTCATGAAATGGGTTTCCATGGCCGAGCAGCCGCACACAAGCCTAAGATCACCACGCACAATGCCAGGCGTCAGCTGGAGTGGTGAAAAGCTCACCGCCATTGGACTCTGGAGTAGTGGAAAGCGTTCTCTGGAATGATGAATCACGCTTCACCATCTGGCAGTCTGACAGACGAATCTGGGTTTGGCAGATGCCAGGAGAACGCTCCCTGCCCAAATACATAGTGTCAACTATAAAGTTTGGTGTAGGAGGAATAATGGTCTGGGGCAGTTTTTCATGGTTGGAGCTAGGCCCCTTAGTTCCAGTGAAGGGAAATGTTAACGCTACAGCAGACAATGACATTCTAGACGATTCTGTGCTTCCAACTTTGTGGCAACAGTTTGGGGAAGGCCCTTTCCTGTTTCAGCATGACAATGCCCCCGTGCACAATGCGAGGTCGATACAGAAATGGTTTGTCGAGATCGGTGTGGAAGAACTTCACTGGCCTGCACAGAGCACTGACTTCAACCCCATCGAACGCCTTTCGGATAAATTGGAACGCTGACTGCAAGCCAGGCCTAATCGCCCAACATCAGTGCATGTGCATATTAATGCCCATGAATTTGGAATGAGATGTACGAGCAGGTGTCCACATACTTTGTTATTGCTTATTAAAGGATATGGAGTAGTCTAATATGTAGTATCCCTTAAACGTCTGTTTATACATTATTATGTCATAATATGTAGTATCCCTTAAATGTATGTTTATACATTATTATGTCACTTTACAAGGATATGGTGATTAGCTAACAAAAATGATTTATCTGTAGCACAATAACTGACAAAATTATATAAGAACAAATCAGATATAATTTATTTTCAATGCTATTTCATTTGGCTCAGCTCAGCCATTCAATATTTGTAAATTATTTTATTACAAGATTACAACTTCTCACAGTCTCATTACCATGCCTGCTTTTGTTTGCATAGGCCTCCTTGCGTTTCACTGGGGTCCCTTCCCCTCTCAGAAACAGGCCAAGGCATAGTGACCATCTTGATCCTGTATGGCTCAGTTGGTAGAGCATGTTTTCTGTAACGCCAGAATTGTAGGTTTGATTCCTGGGACACCCATATGTAAAATGTATGCAGGCATGACTGTAAGTCGCTTTGGATAAAAGTGTCTGTTAAATGGCATATATTATTATTCAGCTGTCATCTCCTGTCTCATGACTACAGCAGTCTCGTGGTGTGATCCCCATTTTGACTCCCTGGCCCCAGCCAGTACCAAACTACTCACCAATCACATCTCTCCTGCTTTCTCCTGCTGGGCTGTATTTCACACTCATTCAGATGCCGTTGTTTATGATTGCTAGTCTCCTCTGGTTTTCTGCTCTGTGCACAGCAAGCACATTTACTACGGTTATTTATGATTTCAATTAGTCTCCACCGTTAGTGCTCACATGGATTTGATGCTGGCTGTCCATGCACTTTACTCTGGTATAGTCAATAAAAACTCCTCTACTCCACCTCCCTGCCACAGCCTTTGAAATGGCTTCATTCACCTTCATATGTGCGTGTTCTGGCTGGTATACTCTCAAAAATGCTGGGTTGTTTGGATGACCCAACTGGGTTGCAACCTGCTGGGTTGTAGGCATTGGGTCACTTAGTTGGTTGTTTTCTAAAAAGAGCAAGGTTGAGTTGTTAGTGCTGGATTATTGATGCTGGGTTATTGAGATATGACCCAGGGGGTCAGATCAGAAGACTGGAGGTGTGGCTTAGTAGGGGTGTGGCTTTCAGATTGTTATTTTTGGCCACCCGTGAGAGTAAGCGTCATTCCGGTTCATCTGTTCTGTTGTATTGTTATCACATTGTAAGGTTGAACACAGACACTTTTGTAGCTTTAATGAAGATAACGAAAGTCTGAGTTCCTTAACAGCCTATACAAATCTCAATGTTGGGATAGTTACCACTTTGTTGCAATGTGTAAGCAATCATGTTATTAATATTATAGTAGAATATGTCATGTGTAAAAATATTTAAGGAACATTTTAATTTGTAGTGTACAAAGTTAGTGGCACTCCAGTCTCCTTTTCACCTCATTTATCACCTGATTTACTTAACAAAAGGCACATCTCAATAGGTGGTCCATGATGAACAGGAATGACATTTACTCTCACGGATGGCCAAAAATAACTATGTGAAAGCCATGCCGCTAATAAGCCACACCTCCTGAAAATAACCGGAGGATTACATTAAAAAAGACCAAGCTGCTGGGTTAATCATGCATGAAAGTTTAAAAAAAACAACTGATGGTTAAATTAACCCATGTTTGGGTAAACCCAACAACACAGCATGTTGGGTTATTCACGCAACCCAACTGGCTGGGTCAACGTGTGTTCAATATTTACCCAGCGCTGGGTTACCAAATAACCCAAATTGGGTTGTTTTTAACCAAGTATTTTTTTTAGAGTGTAGGTCATCTCCTACTTCCATGAGAAAAGACCTGGGTTTTATTCCAAAACTAATTAACAGACACAATAAACGGACTGGGCTGGATCTACCTCCCAGCTGTTGTCTCCTGGAGAATTGTTTTCTGGCTTTTATTTGGGTATTTGATTGTCTGATATAAATGTAAAAAAAATTCATGTGTGAGTGTCTCTTCCACAGAATCATTTGTGACCTAGCGAGCTTGTAACTGTTTTGTGTGTTTCTGTGTGTGCACATGCATGCGTGCGTGTGGGCACTGTTTACTACAGTATGTCGTAAAGACTCATTATTTCATATGAGGGAGGCACATGACTTAAATGTCAAGCTTATTAGTGGGACTGTATCAGGAAACGAAGTACAGTTGAGTAGGTGGAAGGCCTAATTAATATCAAGGGGGAAATCCCTTCTCATCTTTTTCCATATGAACATTCATACATTTACATTTTAGTCATTTAGCAGACGCTCTTATCCAGAGCGACTTACAGTTAGTGAGTGCATACATTTTCATACATACATATGGATTCTTCGTTCACCCTAACATCTGAAAATTGATTGAATATTATAGTATTAGAAATGGCTGCTGTTTAGTTACATAACTAGGCTGTTAGAATCTGAGGAAATTGCAGCTATTCATAAAAAGATGGAAAGATCTCGGTGTGTTTGGGTTGTCTAAAATGTACAGTATGCCCCTCTGTCTGTTCAACACACATCACATTCTTCCCAGACATTATCGCTTGTTTCTTTCAGACAATGTTCCAGTATCTTACATATATACAATATTGACTATTCCAAAGCAAAGACTGAGACACAGAGGGCAGCTTATAGATGTCTGTGAGTGATTCCTGAGGTGTTTTGACATGAGGAAACCCCAATGCACACAGGCACATTACAAGGCCATATAAGCACACACTGTGCAGGCTTTTGACCTCTGTGGTAACTTACCCGTCAATGGACAACTCCTCTGAATCCCTAGTTAGTATCCTTTTATATGAAAATAAATCCCTGCTATTCACTCACTATTAGACTTTGGAGCATGTGTATTGTTTACCTTCTTCTTTTGTCTTTGCTTTTATGCCTGGTGGTAAATGATGTGTATTGTTTACTTCCGTAAAAACTGTCAATATCAAACACTGTACAGTAAATTTATTTTTATGGGCGGATGTATTTTTTATTTGCATTGATTGATCATATGTTTGATTTATGTTATTAGGATTGGGAGTTCCCTCAGTTCATGGGCGACCTGGATATGAACCTGCCTGGCATGTCCACCACGCAGCTCAAGTTCAAACTTCCTGTCTGCAAGAGCATCTTCAAAGAGGAGTACCACATCCATATCACAGGTACAGATATTAGCAAGCATACCATATTAGTAAACATACTATACTGTGTCCTGAGTGGCGCAGTGGTCTAAGGCACTGCATCGCAGTGCTAACTGTGCCACTAGATCCTGGTTCGAATCCAGGCTCTGTTGCAGCCGGCCCGGACCGGGAGACTCATGGGCGGCGCACAATTGGCCCAGCGTCGTCCAGGGTAGGGGAGGGAATGGCCGGCAGGGATGTAGCTTAGTTGATAGAGCATGGCGTTTGCAACGCCAGGGTTGTGGGTTCGATTCCCACGGGGGGGCCAGTATAAAAAAAGATGTATTCACTAACTGTAAGTCGCTCTGGATAAGAGCGTCTGCTAAATGACGTAAAATGTAAATGTAAATACTAGCCCAATTGATTTAGGTGGTATAGAGGGTTACCACTATTATTTCAATATTTTCACACTCCATCTGACCAGCTGTGTTGGAAGTTTTGGCAGTTGCACCATGACACTGGCCTAAGATGAATACAGATCAGATATACCTGTTCTGACATGACTTCTTCATCCTACCAGCGGTGCTTGTTTCTGAAATACTCTTCCCCCCCTGCACCTTGCACCCCTGCTGCGTCAGACACATCAGAATGGTGCAATGTGTATAAACAATCACCCAGGTTTCATTCCGTTCCACAGCATGCCCCCAGTTTTGATATTGTTAAATGTGTTACACTTGTTTTCTCTACTTTTAAGTCATTTCTTAAACTCATGTGTTTCTTAAACTCATGTGTTTCTTAAACTCATGTGGGGCGGCAGGTAGCTTAGCGGTTAAGAGCGTTGGGCCAGTAACTGAAAGGTCGCTGGTTCAAATCTCCAAGCCGACTAGGTGAAAAATCTGTAGATGTGCCCTTGAGCAAGGCACTTAACCCTAATTGCTCCTGTAAGTCGCTCTGGATAAGAGCGTCTACTAAAATGTAAATGTGAAAACCATCAAGGGGAGAGAAACGAATGTTCCCATGCTAGATGTTAAACTGTTCAAACGCTCACTGATTTGTGCTAGATTGTTAACCCTAATGCATCGCACATCCATTTAGCATTATGTTAATGGTCATACAGTACATGATTGCTTTGACTAAAAGCTTATTAACGGTGGTACGTCTCAGGAAAGGGAGGGAATTGTGTCACATGTACCCATGGAGCTATCTGCCTTTAGATCAGTAAACCTGGAGCGATTGCTACCAATAATATTATGACCTCATTTCATTAAGCGTCAGTGTTAGACCTGGTACCTGCAAATATATTCTCATATACTGTCTGTCTGTCTTATCTGTCTGTGTTTTGTCAATTGATGACCTTAAATTAATTAGATTCATAAAAGCTTTATAACTTGTCCGAACGGTACAGTAATCAGTGAATTAAAGGGCATGTCAACGTCAGCTTGGGCACAATAAAACTGGATTTTGACATCCAGAAATGACCCTAACTGCCCTCCATATTGTTTGTCCCTGCAGGTAAGTGGTTCAACTACGGCATCATCTTCCTGGTGTTAATCCTGGACCTGAACATGTGGAAGAACCAGATCTTCTACAAGCCCTATGAGTACGGGCAGTACGTTGGTCCAGGGGAGAAGATCTTCACCGTGGAGGAGCCCCACACGCTGGGCGACTTCAACCGCAGCACGCTCACCCACAAGTGGCGCTCCAGCCACGTGGACCCGCTGACCAACCGCTCGTACGTGCATCGCGACATGTTCCTGCACAGCCGCTACGTGGGTGCCAGCCTGGACGTCAAGTGCCTGGCCTTCATCCCCAGCCTGGCTGCCTTCGTCCTCTTCGGCTTCTTCATCTGGCTGCTGGGACGCTTCCAGGACAGCGAGACCTTCCCGGAGAGCCAGGTGGACAAGACGTACGAGAGGATCAAGAGGAAGTCTCCGTCGGAGTATAGTAAGGACATGGGACTCACGCCAGAGGAGGTGCACATCTCTATGAGCGAGGCGCTCAAATGTTCCGGAACCCCCATGCTGTTGTTGGTGGACGGGCATCACTTTGCTCCGCACTCTGCCACCTCCACCAACTCCACTTCGCCTGTTTCCATGGAGACCCAGGAGACACATCCCAGTATTGTCATCGAGGGCGCGGAGCCAAGACAGCCGGCGGCATGCTTTGATGTCGGCAAAATGTCACCGCCCTGACCTTACTGCCCTGAGGGGAAATACTGCTATTGTCTGCTACTGGCAGACACACAGCCTGGAGGGAGGAGAGGAGACACAGGAGAGAGACCAAACTGAAACTCAATTTCAGTCTAGATCTTTTTCAGTCTGGGTAGATATTGAACCCAACACTGATTGAGTATTCCTGGAGCAGAGGATGTAGCTACAATGGCCTCTTGGGTTCTTCTGGACAATTTGTTTTGCTACTGAAAATAAACTCTCTCATATTCCTGATGGGTTTTTATTATTATCATTGTTATTATTATTATTTATTTTAATTGTAAGACAGTGGTTTTTTTTCTTATTCTCTAAGCTGACACAAACACAATGACAAACAGCTTATTTTAACCTCCCTCACTGCAAAGTTCTATTGTCAACATGGTGCTCTCGCTAGATTTGACGTTTTTGTAATATCAAGGTGTTTTTTCTTATTGTGACATTTTGGTGCCTATATGGGGAACTATTTCTACAGTCGATGCATGACACAATGGTCATGGCTAGTTTATATTGTAAAACTAGAGTATTACAACTGAAGAGGTGCCTTGATAACCCATGTCCACTAAAGGACATCAACATAGTCTATACTATAGGCAGAAAAACAGAAGATGTCTGATAGTGTGTGTCTGTCTTGTTTATTTAAATGTTCTACTTCAATGTTTACCCTTTCACACTATCACAGGTTTTTGAATTCATTTGTTATCTTGATAATTCTCACATATCCCATCTTCACGTGTTTCTTCTCTTGTAGTTATAGAAATTACTGGATTGCTAAACATCATTATGATGATGATAATATTATGACGACCTCTTCATTTTCTGGTTGTATTATCAAATGCAAGATAATAGGCATAAGCTATTTTCAAATAACATTCAAAAGTCACCTCATGATCGCTTATCTGGTCATTATACTCAAATGTAACGCAAATTAGGTCAGAAAGGTCATTTGCCCTTTGTGGAGTAAATGTGCTTTTGTTATACCAGGAGAGAGAAGTACACCAAATCTTACTGCCGCACCTTACGCATATCATATCCCCCAGCAGTATATGTACCACAAGCATGACCTTGGTTCAAAGCCAGTATTGGGGTCATGGTTTGGTTTGAGATAACACATAGAGAATGTGACCTCTTTACTTACAGTGACAAGCAAAAGAGAGTGGGAGTTTTTCGTATTTATGAGAGTTATGAGCGTTGTTATATCAAATACGTTAAGTGTGCAACTACAGTATACCAATGCTCAGTTATTTAAGTGTTTTCTAACAATGCATTCTGTGTGTGTGCATCTGAGTTTGTGCGCGTATGCGTGTGTATGTGACAGAGAGAGCGAGAGCGTACAATTCTGTGAAGAGGTCAATGCAGTTAACATAAGTGGTGTATGGTCCTTGGTTCAGTGATCCCCTTCTACACTTTACAGGTCATTACAGCTCAACTTATTTCATTTTGTAGATATGGCTTTGCAACAAATTGCTGAATGTACGGGGCAATGGCTAAATTAGTGTGTTTATCTCACCTGAAGTGATCTAGTGATATGTTTGTAATATATTGTGCTTCGGTTGAAACTGAATGTTCCCCCTGCTGTTATACATGGTATTGTATTGCATAACTGACAGATATTTTCCATTCTTGTGTGTGGTTTTTAAACGAAGGATATCTGTTTTTAACATGTTGACACAAATGTCTGCCGAATAATGGTATCAATAAAATGTATACATTTTGCTACATACTAGGTTGCCGGTGCCCTTATTAGCTATTAGAGTGAGGTGTCTATCTGTTACATAACCTCAATGCTGAAACTAGTTCACTGTTGCCAAGCAACTCCTCAGGTCAACTTCATGCAGCTGCTGACCCAATTACATGGAATATGTAAGATTGCTGTTGCATTGCCAAGAAGGAACCTGCAAGTAAACATTTCGTTGGATGGTGTACACCAGGTGTATCCTGTACATATGACTAATAAAACTTGAAATATGAGAGAGAGAGAGTATAATTATAGTAGGACTGTATTTACACAAGGTACGATATAAGAGAAAGATAATGGTAGTATCTACACAATTACACTTAAACATAGCCCTGTGCATGCCATTAGGCCATGATTAGCCCTCTTCTCACTAATGACATGTCCGTAGTTTAGTCGTTTGTTGATACAGAATACAGTATACTGTAGCTAGTTTACAAAGATACAGACCATGTCAAACATTGGGGGCACTGAGCTGTACAAGAATACATCTAAAAGTAAAACTGGGCAGTCAAACCATCAACTAGGCACTCTACAGTGTAATTTGTTGGATGAGGGAAACATATTTCTTACTGCTGGAGTGCTAGGTCTTAGGCTGAAGCCATTCCAAGTGTGCCACTGCAGTGATAAATTAGATATTGATTTCTGGGTGTATGCAGTAAGTGAGGGAAATCATCAAACCAAGAGTTTCAATAATGTTCAGGGTGAGAAAAGTGGGACGCCCAAGTTGTGTACTCCCAAAATGAGATGGTTACTGCAATGGGTAAAGTAGGCCCATCTGTAAGAGGAATAATGCAACTTTACAAGAATTGGCTGCAAACTAATTTTAGTTCAACTTCATGTATGTGAACTGTGAGTCTCCTGTGAATCCATCAGTGGGGACAGAGGCAGGGTGTATTCCCCATGAGACTGACTGGTCTAAAGAGTCTGTCTGTCGGTTGTCCCTGCCTGATTCCTACTGTGCCTCTGATGCCTAACAGTGAGACGGGGGGCTCAGACCAGTCACTCGCTTGGCAGAGATTGACGGACAAAAAAAGTATTACTCCGATTTATTTTCTTCTGCTTCCTTTTCTTTGGAATAGAGAGATCATTTTTAACAGCGAGGATGAAGTGCTTTGGGTGGTTGCATACTGTGGAACTAATACCTGCACATATACTGTATGGCTATGTAGCGGAGGTGGTTTCTCAGCTAGTATAGCCTTGAGTGTTTGCACCTATGGTAACTTACTTAGTGATGCAATACACAACACTTGATGCAATAATAAAAAATAAGTGACTGCAGCTTTAGTGCATTCAACCAACCCTTTTGCCAAATGAGCACATACTGCATGTCATATCTAGTTAAATGTAGGCTAAAGCAGGACATATTAGTGATAATTGGTGGATTTGCTATACATAGAGTCAGCACTGTGCTGGATTTACATATTAACACATTTGCCAATTAATAATTAAAGAGTTGAGGTTGAGTCTGTTGCTCCCTCTGACACATACAGGTGCATCTCAATAAATTAGAATATTGTGGAAAAGTTAGGTAATTTCAATAATTCAATTGACAAAGTGAAACTCATATCGTGGATTAATTACACAAAAAGTGAAATAGTTCAAGCCTGTATTTGTTTTAATCTTGATGATTACGGCTTACAGCTCATGAAAACCCCAAATTCAATATCTCAGAAAATTAGAATATGACATATGACCAGTGAAAAAAGGAATGTCGGCCTTCTGAAAAGTATGTTCTTGTACATGCTGTCAGTACTTGGTTGGGGCTCCTTTTGCATGAATCACTGCATCTATGCGGCGGGCATGGAGTCGATCAGCCTGTGGCACTGCTGAGGTGTTATGGAAGCCCAGGTGGCTTCGATAGCGGCCTTCAGCTCGTCTGCATTGTTGGGTCTCGTGTCTCTCATCTTCCTCTTGACAAGACCCCATAAATTCTCTATGGGGTTCAGATCAGGCGAGTTTGCTGGCCAATCAAGCACAGTAATCCCATGGTCATTGAACCAGGTATTGTTACCTTTGGCAGTGTGGGCAGGTGCCAAGTCCTGCTGGAAAATGAAATCAGCATCTCCATGAAGCTTGTCAGCAGAAGGAAGCATGAAGTGCTCTAACATTTCCTGGTAGATGGCTGAGTTGACTTTGGACTTGATGAAACACAGTGGACCAACACCAGAAGATGACATGGCTCCCCAAATCATCACTGTGGAAACTTCACACTGGACTTCAAGCAACTTGGATTCTGTGCCTCTCCACTCTTCCTCCAGACTCTGGGACCTTGATTGCCAAATGAAATGCAAAATGTACTTTCATCTGAAAAGAGGACTTTGGACCACTGAGCGACAGTCTTCCTTAGCCCAGGTAAGACGCTTCTGACGTTGCCTCTTGTTCAGGAGTGGCTTGACACGAGGAATGCAACAGTTGTAGCCCATTTCCTGGATACGTCTGTGCGTGGTGGCTCTTGATGCACTGACTCCTGCCTCAGTCCACTCCTTGTGAAGCTCCCCCACATTTTTTGAATGGCCTTTGCTTGACAATCCTCTCAAGGCTCCGGTTATCCCTGTTGCTTGTGCACCTTTTCCTACCACATTTCTTCCTTCCACTCGACTTCCCATGAATATGCTTGGATACAGCACTCTGTGAACAGCCAGCTTCTTTAGCAATGATCTTTTGAGGCTTTCCCTCCTTGTGGAGGGTGTTGATGACTGTCTTCTGCACAACTGTCAAGTCAGCAGTCTTCCCCATGATTGTGAAGCCTACTGAACTGGACTGAGAGACCATTTAAAGGCTCAGGAAACCTTTGCAGGTGTTTTGAGTTAGTTAGCTGATTAGTGTGACACCTTGAGTCTACAATATTGAACTTTTTCACAATATTCTAATTTTCTGAGATACTGAATTTGGGGTTTTCATGAGCTGTAAACCGTAATCAACAAGATTAAAACCAATACAGGCTTGAACTATTTCACTTTTTGTGTAATTAATCCACGATATGAGTTTCACTTTGTCAATTGAATTATTGAAATTACTTAACTTTTCCACAATATTCTAATTTATTGAGCTGCACCTGTAGAGAATATGAACCAGGTCCCCTATAGAGAGGAGTCAAGCTACTGTAGCATTCTACACTGTACGTCCAAGAGCTATGAAAGGGCTCAATAATGTCTGATGACTGACCTGCAATACATTACCTTTCTGATGCCTTGAGAGTTGTCAATGTCAACTAACACGCATGTTGTAAACTAATGGTTTATGAAGGCTACAGTGTTTACAGATCTCCATGTGAAGCTATTGCACTGCTCCACTGCCTTAGCCAAACCCTATCATATGAGTGTCCATTAATAATGAACACAGGACAGGCAGTAATGTGGGCACTCTGTGGGAGGAGACATCTGTTGCGGTGAGTTCAACTTATCCCACCATGGACAATTGGACATTTAGGAGCCAGCTGGACAACCACTCTGCCCCGCTGTGCCAATACCCCTGTGCCCCTGGCAAGGAGCCACCACCGGCAAGGAGTCACCACCGGCTTGGAGTCACTGGACCAAAGCCTGCCAGATGGTGCCCAGCCACTCCGGACAACCCAGGCACGCAGACGCACATATACACACACACACACACACCAGACACATGCACGCATGCGCACGCTTTCATTGCGGTCAGGCACAAGTTCACAGTAGTCTATATTGATCATTTGAGAGGTATAACACGTTTCGAAGGAGAGAGATTACATTTACATCATTTAGCAGACGCTCTTATCCAGAGCGACTTACAAATTGGTGCATTCAACTTATGATAGCAAGTGGGACAACCACTTTTTTTCTTTTTTTATGGGTGGGGGAGGGGGTAGAAGGATTACTTTATACTATTCCAGGTATTCCTTAAAGAGGTAGGGTTTCAAGTGTCTCCGGAAGGTGGTCAGTGACTCCGCTGTCCTGGTGTCGTGGGGGAGCTTGTTCCACCATTGGGGTGCCAGAGTAGCAAATAGCTTTGACTGGGCTGAGCGGGAACTGTGCTTTCGTAGAGGTAGGGGAGCTAGCAGGCCAGAGGTGGATGAACGTAGTGCCCTCGTTTGGGTGTAGGGTCTGATCAGAGCCTGAAGGTAAGGAGGTGCCGTTCCCCTCACAGCTCCGTAGGCAAGCACCATGGTCTTGTAGTACATGCGAGCCTCAACTGGAAGCCAGTGGAGTGTGCGGAGGAGTGGGGTGACATGAGAGAACTTGGGAAGGTCGAACACCAGACGGGCTGCAGCGTTCTGGATAAGTTGTAGGGGTTTAATGGCACAGGCAGGGAGCCCAGCCAACAGCGAGTTGCAGTTATCCAGAGATGGCAAATGTTCCATTGAGGGAGGAGAGGAAATGGTAATATACCAATGTGCTCCATGATTCGGTTCCGCTGTGTGTTTGTTCATGTAAGTAGCTGCTGCTAGGGAGACCCAGGGAAATATCCTTAAGACAGATACTTTTCCCTCTGCAGGGAAATTAAGTCTTCTTCAGGCACAACTCATTCCTCCCAGCCAGCCTGTAAATTGATATGCTAATTAGATTAGGAGTTTTAAGCGCTGTACTCTGACTAATACAAGTACTACCATTACCTCTGGAGATGCAGGAAACCCCCAGGAACCAGTGGAAGGAAGCAAAGCAAACCAATTGGGACATGACATCTCCTGTATCACAGTATACACACGAGATGTTCAATGTATTGAACAAATGAAAGCTCTCAATCAAATCCAGTACTCAATCAAGTACTGTTAGTGTATTGGCATAGTAACAAACCCTCAAAATGCTATCCTTCAAATCCTAAACTTCAAACACTTGCCAATTATCCATTCAAAATCAGACTGATCTGGATGGTTCTTGATCCCGGTCTTGACTACTGTACTGTATTATGTAATCATCACCACCACAATGTACCTCAGCAGCAGTGCAGACAGAGGAAGTCCACCAGCCCCATTAATATTAGATGTGAAAGGTCAGGCGTGATGATGTGTAGGTACCCGATAGGCTGTTATTGCTGGTGTCACATCCCAGGCGGAGTTTCCTCTCCTCTAACACGCTGTCACACAAACATGTGTTCTGACATGAACTCAATCTCACCTCGCTGTCCTCTTCACAGGAAGTGGGGAGGTCTGGGAAGGCAAAGCTCATGCAATTTGTCATCTGTGTTGATTGGATTTTCGGGTCAACGAGACCTGGGAGGATGTGTTTTTGACTTCATATGAATACAGACAAGTAGTAGTTAAGTAGGAGATCAATGGTTTTCAATGACTAATATACCACGACATCCTAAAAAAGACAAGCTCAAACAATCATTAATGTAAATTGAAATACTTTATTTCACCATTACACAATAACAGGGCTTGAAATAAATTGAAAAGATAAATGGAAAGTAATGCTACAGAGGACCATAAAATATAGACAACTTTAATAATGTAGCAAATGAAACTTACACTAAAACGACCACTATCTAGGATATCATTGAGATTAAAAGAGTTTAGAAATCAGCAAAATGTTTCTACATCGAGCACATTCATGCCAGTATAATAGTATTTTACAGCGTCATGTTGCAGATGATTTGGGGGTGTTCCTCAATGCACACGGGTCACCCTGATTGGTGAGGCTGAACACAGAGGGGGCTTGTGGGTACTGTAGTCCATCTGTGTTCTATGATACATGTTTTGTATTTGGTATAAAGAAGTTGGGCTGGAGGGTGGAAAACGCTGGTTGTTTTTACATGGATAACACTGTACAGGTAGGTGCCTTCAGAGCTTCAGGAACTAAAGGCACATGGGGTCCACTGAGCAACAGATATGTCCATTCTGAAAGAGAGGGGGAGGAGAGAGAGAATTTAGAGTGGGTCACTGTCAGACTTTAACCACAATACAGTTCTTCTCTTTGAAGTTTCTCTACTGCAGAATGAAGTTCTATTATTGTTTTCTACTTTTCTCACTGAAAGGCAAACTTGGTTTGACATTTAGAATTTCGATAGTCATGGAGTGTTTGGCGCCAACATGAGGTATAGTTGGCTGAAGTCCGCATAGATATAATGAATATCCATGGCTGTTACCTTGCACTGGCAGAGGGTGCACTCAGTGCCGTGTTTGACCCAGGAGGAGCCGCTGAAGCGCTGGATGCCGTGCTCGTCCATGCACGTCTTGGTGATGTCGTTACGGATGGTGTCAGCCTGGCAGGGGTCGGTGACGCAGCGGGCACAGCATTCGCCCTTGGGCACCACCGTGAACTCACAGTCCAAATGGGGGCACGACAGGGGCCAGCAGTCTACCTGCCCCTGCTGTGGGAGGGTGAGACAGAAAGACAGACAGACAGACTGGAGTCTTATTACATACCAGTGGAGGCTGCTGAGGGGAGGACGGCTCATAATAATGTCTGGAACGGAGCCAATGGAATGGTATCAAACACCATTGACTCCATTCCAGCCATTATTGAGAGTCGTCCTCCCCTCAGCAGCCTCCACTGATACGTACAGTCCATCACCCCTACAATTGTATTGAATAGATCCTGTCCTTTGCCAAATGTTTCAGTATACTTCTATACCACCCTGATGCAGTCAAAAAAGTATCATGTAAACATAGACATTTTGTCCTGATACATCATAGATGGGGCTATGTCATTGCATAGGAGTAGCAGTATGAGAGGAAATACATTTTCAGACACTGGGCTAAATATTCTGGATTTCCTAATGGAGTTGTTTTGGTCACCCGTTCATTCTCCCGCTCATAATAATCACTACACAGTTGCAGCAGAGAAAGCCTTATTGGATTTCTCAAGCAGTCGTTTCAATAAGCCAGTGAATACAGGTCATATATTCTGGCGAACTTTATAGATCCTGGTTAAGCTATGATTCTGCATGACCTACAGTGCCTTGAAAAAGTATTCATCCCCCTTGGCGTTTTTCCTATTTTGTTGCATTACATCCTGTAATTTAAATGGATTTTTATTTGGATTTCATGTAATGGACATACACAAAATAGTCCAAATTGGTGAAGTGAAATTTAAAAAAAGAACATTTCAAAAATAGTTAAAAATAAATAACGGAAAAGTGATGCATGCATATGTATTCACCCCCTTTGCTATGAAGCCCCTAAATAAGATCTGGTGCAACCAATTACCTTTAGTTAAATAAAGTCCACCTGTGTGGAATCTAAGTGTCACATGATCTCAGTATACAGTGGGGAAAAAAAAGTATTTAGTCAGCCACCAATTGTGCAAGTTCTCCCACTTAAAAAGATGAGAGAGGCCTGTAATTTTCATCATAGGTACACGTCAACTATGACAGACAAAATGAGTAAAAAAATCCAGAAAATCACATTGTAGGATTTTTAATGAATTTATTTGCAAATTATGGTGGAAAATAAGTATTTGGTCAATAACAAAAGTTTCTCAATACTTTGTTATATACCCTTTGTTGGCAATGACACAGGTCAAACGTTTTCTGTAAGTCTTCACAAGGTTTTCACACACTGTTGCTGGTATTTTGGCCCATTCCTCCATGCAGATCTCCTCTAGAGCAGTGATGTTTTGGGGCTGTCGCTGGGCAACACGGACTTTCAACTCCCTCCAAAGATTTTCTATGGGGTTGAGATCTGGAGACTGGCTAGGCCACTCCAGGACCTTGAAATGCTTCTTACGAAGCCACTCCTTTGTTGCCCGGGCGGTGTGTTTGGGATCATTGTCATGCTGAAAGACCCAGCCACGTTTCATCTTCAATGCCCTTGTTGATGGAAGGAGGTTTTCACTCAAAATCTCACGATACATGGCCCCATTCATTCTTTCCTTTACACGGATCTGTCGTCCTGGTCCCTTTGCAGAAAAACAGCCCCAAAGCATGATGTTTCCACCCCCATGCTTCACAGTAGGTATGGTGTTCTTTGGATGCAACTCAGCATTCTTTGTCCTCCAAACACGACGAGTTGAGTTTTTACCAAAAAGTTATATTTTGGTTTCATCTGACCATATGACATTCTCCCAATCCTCTTCTGGATCATCCAAATGCACTCTAGCAAACTTCAGACGGGCCTGGACATGTACTGGCTTAAGCAGGGGGACACATCTTGCACTGCAGGATTTGAGTCCCTGGCGGCGTAGTGTGTTACTGATGGTAGGCTTTGTTACTTTGGTCCCAGCTCTCTGCAGGTCATTCACTAGGTCCCCCCGTGTGGTTCTGGGATTTTTGCTCACCGTTCTTGTGATTATTTTGACCCCACGGGGTGAGATCTTGCGTGGAGCCCCAGATCAAGGGAGATTATCAGTGGTCTTGTATGTCTTCCATTTCCTAATAATTGCTCCCACAGTTGATTTCTTCAAACCAAGCTGCTTACCTATTGCAGATTCAGTCTTCCCAGCCTGGTGCAGGTCTACAATTTTGTTTCTGGTGTCCTTTGACAGCTCTTTGGTCTTGGCCATAGTGGAGTTTGGAGTGTGACTGTTTGAGGTTGTGGACAGGTGTCTTTTATACTGATAACAAGTTCAAACAGGTGCCATTAATACAGGTAACGAGTGGAGGACAGAGGAGCCTCTTAAAGAAGAAGTTACAGGTCTGTGAGAGCCAGAAATCTTGCTTGTTTGTAGGTGACCAAATACTTATTTTCCACCATAATTTGCAAATAAATTCATTAAAAATCCTACAATGTGATTTTCTGGATTTTTTTTTCTCAATTTGTCTGTCATAGTTGACGTGTACCTATGATGAAAATTACAGGCCTCTCTCATATTTTAAAGTGGGAGAACTTGCACAATTGGTGGCTGACTAAATACTTTTTTCCCCCACTGTATATACACCTGTTCTGAAAGACCCCAGAGTCTTGCCAGAGATTTGCCTTGGCTAGACAACAGCGTGGCCAACAACAACCATATTTCATTCCTCTAGATCTAAGGCTAAAACAATATCCTATACCCATAGCGTCCTATACCTATAGTAGCAAGTCAGAGATACATATGTCAAAGAGCCATATTATGTCATTCAAATGAGTGCAAAAATACATGTAATTTAAAAGGGGATTTGTATCTTTGTCTTAGAGATTTGCGTGTCCATTTCCCTGCTGAGCAGAGCGGGGCCAGTATGGTTCAGACTCTGCTGTGTAGGCATTCAAGGTTAATTTCATGTCCCGGTCACGCTACTAGATCCCACGTGTATATCTCCGCACCATTCTCCTCCACTCCGCTCTTTCAAGTGCTGCAGTTTATACCATTTTGGCTGGTGGCTGTGTTTGTGTGTGCAACATGATGTATGTGTGTGTTTGTGTGCATGCATACCTGAGTGCCTGCCTCAGAGAGAGAGAAAGAGATTCAACAGAAAGCCCATTTCAGCACCCTGCATCTCCAACACAGTGATTTCACAGCCCTATAATGGCCTGCTGTAAGTAATCCACCCAAGGCCCTTAAGGTCTAACCCTTAAGGACAGCATCACAGTGGGGGAAGGAAACAACATTATGCTGTCTAGTACAACAGCCATGGATTTTACTTGGTGTCTCTGTATTCATTTGCTAATCACAGAAGGAGAGAGGTGGGATGGCTGTATGTGTGTCTACAACATTCTGTTTGGAGGGAAAAAATAACCAACGGTAATGCCACTCCTCCGAGGGAACGGGCGGTCGGGAGAGAGCTGGCAGAACGACAATGCTAAAGATGATTTATGGGTCGACGCAAAGGCAGATTGACGCAAATGCAGCTAAGTGTTACTTTTTTCCAGGAGTGGATTGGCCAGGGAGAATGCCAAGTGTGACATTTGCATTTAATAAACATATGGCTGGTGGTGAAGGGCGTCTGAAAGGCTTATTGAAGGCGGTAGGATGTGATGTTCTGTCAGATTTAGTGTGAAATCCTCGTAAAAAAGCCTTCCTGTTGTTTGAACAGCAGGGATGAGGGAGCCTTGGAAAAGGTCGACAGTGGAGAGAGTCAATGCAAACAGTGCATATTTCTTTGAGTAAATTCAATAGAGAACGCTCTTGACATGTCATAATTCAGTTTTATATATTGCCAGGACATAGAGACTTGTGGACATAGAGACCTGCATACACACACACACACACACACACACACACAGTATCTCCCGTACATTAATCACTAAAGTACTGGTATTCCCTGTATATAGCTCCATTCTTGTGTATTTTATTTTATTCCTCTTGTGTTAGATACTATTTATTATTATTATCTTTTAAACTGCATCGTTGGGAAAGGTTTGTAAGCAAGCATTTCACAGTAAAGTCTACACCAGTTGTATTCAGCGCACTTGATAAATACAATTTCATTTGATTTAATGCAGAGTCCAGTACAGTGTGTCCTATCTATTTATAGGGTGTGTATTATTGGTACTAACCAGACACTGGCACTGCTGGCAGTTCTCCACCCAGGTGTCTCCACTGCCATAGGTCAGCAGGCCGTTCTGGTGCAGACACTGGCTGCTGAGGCGAGGGTCACACTCTGGACAGCAGAACAGGTCAGCTGTGGGGTTCTCACAGTCACATACCATCCTCCTGCACATCACCTGGCCAGTCTGCGCAGAGGGGAGGGGGGCGATACACTGTCTGTCAATCAACTGACAATAACACTCAACTCAAACATGTTTTGAAGTCTCAAACTACAAAGTATAGTTTGTAGCTACTATATTGTAAGGTACAGTCTAACTTACTTACTTTTGAAAAACTCTGCATTGTTGGTTAAGGGCTCGTAAGTATGCATTTCATGGTAAGGTCTACTACACCTGTTGTATTCAGCGCATGTGACAAATACAATTTGATTTGAACTACTATTGTAAAGTACAGTCTCTATAACCCAAACTCAATATTTGCTAGTTGTTGACCTTTTTTATTGGTTGATTACACACACTCAACATTACCATTGCTCTCTACTAGCTGACCGTGAACATTCCAAAACAATAACATGTTTACACCTTTCTCTGTTCGCTCAGCCGTTCAATACTGCTAATTCTGACAGGCAGGTTCTCAATTTCTCCAATCAATTAAAATGACTAATTTCATTAAAGTTTCATTTCTGCCCTCCTCCTCTATAATCAAATGAATAATATGATGCTTGATTGTTCAATACACATACTAATCCTCTATAATCACCTGCTAGCATTCCCAGACACCAGACATTATCCAAAAGTAAACGCTAAATGACTAAACATGACAAGACTGTAGCCTAATAATCATTAGATAAATTATAGTTTTTTTGCTTAATTAAAAACCAAGTTTTCCAAATAACTGGTTCTAGACGCATCTAAATTCTTCAGACCTGTATTAATCATATAACTAACTGAATTAATAAAGTCATCATAATGCTTTACAACCAATAGAACGCCCCTGACCTGACCTTTTTTTTTTTACCCATCATCCTCTGTCTCACCTGACAAGAGCAGACTGAGCACCTATCATTGTCCAGCACCCAGATCTGTCGACTGTGTTTGATTTTGTTGTCATGGATACAGTCTCCGGTGCAGTTCCTCCCATGGGGGCACCTGCAGTCGTAGCCCCCCTCCAAGTTGAAGCACACCGTGTCATTGGCACAGGTGTTCCTCCCTGTCTTGCATTCATTGATATCTGTAGGGAGCCAGAGAGATGACTTCAGGCATATGCTCAACACAGGTCAAATACTGTAGTTTATGCATAAATTCACATGCATCTAACTGCTTTAAAAAAGACAAAGGAAGCACATTTATTATATTCTAACAGCTAAAGTGGGCTTTTTTTTATAACAACACTGTAATTTTGTCCCCCCAGAAACCATTTTTCGTCAAATTACAACTGCAGTTGTCTTTGTTCTTCACAGTATGTTCACCTCACTGAGAGTCTCTGATGTGCTCTGTGTCGGTCTGTGTGGATTGGCTAGACTTGACAGGTAAAATGTGGCTATAGAGCAGACAGACAGACACACAGAGCTGCAGTACTGTCACTACTGACACGTAATACTTCAGGGTTTCCTTCCATTTTGACATGTGACAAGCTCTTGGCAGGCAGCTTTAGAGAATGTTCCAGAAAGATTGAATGAGCAGTAAAAAGCAGACAGGAATTTGGAGGAAAATGCACCAGTAACGGTATGTCCAGTCCAAACATACTATTACCCACACCGACAGCAAAAACAACTGGTCAAAAGAAGGCCAAGGAAATCTCTAGCTCTGCAATGGTTAGATGTGCTGCTATGATCAATGTTAGAATACACTAGACTAGAATTATGGAAAAACAAACTAGTGTGCAGGTATACTCTATGCATGTGATAGATGTGCCGGGGCGGCAGGTAGCTTAGTGGTTAAGAGCGTAGTGCCAGTAACCGAAAGGTTGCTGGTTCTAATCCCGAGCTGACTAGGTGAAAAATCTGTTGATGTGCCCTTGAGCAAGGCACTTAACCCTAATTGCTCCTGTAAGTCGCTCTGGATAAGAGCGTCTGCTAAATGACTGTAAATATCAATAGGAATTATCATATGTGACTAGGTGAATGAAGATTGCCTACAACCGCAGTGTTTCTTTTGGTCTTGTGATGAAAAGAGCGGGTCAACTCACCTATGCACGACTCCCCATTAGTAGAGAACAAGCCGTTGTCGTGGTAGCCATCACGACACTCGCAGTGGTACCACCCGGGCAGGTTGACACAGATGGCTTTGTCATCACACTCCACAAAACCATCAAAACACTCATCAATGTCTGTCAGGAGAGAGAGAGAGAGAGAAAGAACAGTGAAGACCTCTATCTCTCTACGTTTTTGTTCCGAATTATGTCACTAGAACAGCATATCGAACTTAGCTTCATTCTTGTCTGACAGGCATTTTCTACATTGACCGTGACAATTTATTTAGACAAACAACAACGTGACCATCCATTTCATACAAAGGAACGAGGTGCAAGTAAATTAAACATCTGAAACAACTGGATTTATGTGAATACAGAATAAGAAGATGCCCTAATATTTCAACTTGTATTTAATTAGACTGGCTTGGCCAGATGAGAGAAACTTAGCTAGTGATTACGGGATTGGGGCTAAATGTGAGGGTCCAGGTTGCAGAGTGATTAAATGTGTCTGTGTAGGCACAGATGGATTTTTGATGATTGTGTGCGTGTGATGCATTATCAGAGTCCCTCATTATGAAAATTGCCCAGTACTATCAGTGACCTTCCCATTCAATTCCCCCAGAGTCAGACAGAACAGAGCACAGCAGGATCCCCTGGAGGGCCCAGGTCTCCTCTCCCCATCATCTTCTCCTCTACTCTCCGCTCTTCTCCTCTACTCTCCTCTTCCCCTCCCTTCTCCTTTCCTCTCCGCTCTTCTCCTCTACTCTCCTCCTCCCCTCCCTTCTCCTTTCCTCTCCTCTCTTCTCTTCTCCTCTCCTTTCCCTTCCTCTCCTCTTGTCCTCTCCCTCTGCCACAGCAGTAATAGGATTAAGATCTATTGGCTAATGAGCACTCACCCCTTTAATATAATTTCTCCAGCAGATTAACCATTGATCAAATGTTGTGGATATTAGGCCCTTATCAGGGATAGTTCACCCAAATTACAAAATTACATATTGGTTTCCTTACACTGTAAGCAGTCTATGGAGAAGGTTTGACAGCAATCCACGATTTTGGTTTAGTTTCCCTGGCACTGTTTCCAAATGCTAACGTTTTAGCATTTCTGGCAAAGATCCCATCCAAGTCCTGGTACCGATATTATAATTTTTTCGCACATCATGTCCAAATCATCCAAAAGTATCTAAAATTGATTGTGAAGCTCAACAAAGTTACTTACAGTGCAGTCGGAAAGTATTCAGACCCCTTGACTTTTTCAATATTTTGTTACGTTACAGCTTTATTGTAAAATTGATTCAATTGTTTTTTTCCCCATCATCAATTTACACACAGTACCCCATAATGACGAAGCAAAAACAGGTTTTTAGACATTTTAGCAAATGTATTACAAATAACAAAATTAAATCTCACATTTACATATCTATTCAGACCCTTTACTCAGTACTTTGTTGAAGCACCTTTGGCAGCGATTACAGCCTTGAGTCTTCTTGGGTATGACGCTACAAGCCTGGCACACCTGTATTTGGGGAGTTTCTCCCATTTTTCTCTGCAGATCCTCTCAAGCTCTGTCAGGTTGGACAGGGAGTGTCGCTGCACAGCTATTGTCAGGTCTCTCCAGAGATGTTCGGTCGGGTTCAAGTCCGGGCTCTAGCTGAGCCACTCAAGGACATTCAGAGGCTTGTCCCAAAGCCACTCCTGTGTTGTCTTGGCTGTGTGCTTAGGGTTGTTGTCCTGTTGGAAGGTTAACCTTTGCCCCAGTCTGAGGTCCTGAGCGCTCTGGAGCAGGTTTTAATGAAGGATCTCTCTGTGCTTTGCTCTGTTCATCTTTCCCTCGATCCTGACTAGTCTCCCAGCATGATGCTGCCACGACCATGCTACACCGTAGGGATGGTGCCAGGTTTCCTCCAGGTTTCCTCAGAGTGACCATCGGGTTCTCGGTCACATCATTGACCAAGGCCCTTCTCCACCGATTGCTCAGTTTGGCCGGGCGGCCAGCTCTAGGAAGAGTCTTGGTGGTTCCAAACTTCTTCCATTTAAGAATGATGGAGGCCACTGTGTTCTTGGGGACCTTCAATGCTGCAGAAAGTTTTTGGTACCCTTCCCCAGATCTGTGCCTTGACACAATCCTGTCTCTGAGCTCTACGGACAATTCCTTCGACCTCATGGCTTGGTTTTTGCTCTGACATGCACTGTCAACTGTGGGACCTTATATAGACAGGTGTGTGCCTTTCCAAATCATGTCCAATCAATTGAATTTACCACAGGTGGCCTCCAATCAAGTTGTAGAAACATCTCAAGGATGATCAATGGAAACAGGATGCACCTGAGCTCAATTTCGAGTCTCATAGCAAAGGGTTTGAATACTTATGTAAATAAGGTATTTCTATTTTTTATTTTAATACTTTTGCAAAAAAGTCTAAAAACCTGTTTTCGCTTTGTCATTATGGGGTATTGTGTGTAGTTTGATGAGGAAAAATAATAATTTAATCAATTTTAGAAAAAGGCTGTAACGTAACAAAATGTGGAAAAAGTCAAGGGGTCTGAATACTTTCCGAATGCACTGTATAGATGATTTGAACATGATGTGCGAAAAATTCTAATATCGGTCCCATGACTTGAATGGAATTTGTGCCACAATGTAGGAAAAAGGTATGTACAGCAGTAGTTATATACAGTAAGATTAGCCATGTTGAGAATACAGTATGTACATATAAAGTAAGTAATCAATTAGTTATTTTTCAGACATCAATAAAATTTCAACAGAATAATGATGCAGGAATGCAACTCTTATATGTTCCTAACTACAGAAACGATTTCAGAACAATTAACATAATGTAAACATTATTAAAGTGACCAGTGTTCAATGACTCTGTACATAGGGCAGCAGTCTCTAAGGTGCAGGGCAGGGTACTGGGCGGAGGCCGGCTAGTGATGACTGTTTAACAGTCTAATGGCCTGGAGATAGAAGATGTTTTTCCTTCTCTCTGTCCCAGCTTTGATGCACCTGTACTGTCTCCGCCGGTTACATGGTAGCAGGGTGAACAGGCCGTGGCTCGGGGGGTTGAGGTCCTCGATGATCTTCTTGGGCTTTCTGTGACACCTGGTGCTGTAGATGTCCTGTAGGGCAGGCAGTGTGCCCCCGGTGATGCGTTGGGCTGACCGCACTACCCTCAGGAGAGCTCTGAGGTTGCAGGCGGTGCAGTTGCCGTTCCAGGCGGTGATACAGCCTGACAGAATGCTCTCGATGATGCATCTGTAGAAGTTAATGCAGAGTTTCTTCAGCCTCTTGAGTTTGAAGAGGCTCTGTGGCGCCTTCTTCACCACAGTGTCTGTGTGGAAGGACTATTTCAGGTCCTCGGTGATGTGCACACAGAGACCCTCTCCACTGCGGCCCCATCAATGTGGATGGGGGCGTGCTTTCTCTGCTGTCTCCTGTAGTCCACGATCAGCTCTTTCATTTTGTTGACGTTGAGGGAGATGTTATTTCCCTAGCACCACTCCGCCAGGGCTATGTTGGTAAACAGGTCTACCACTGTTGTGTCGTGAGCAAACTTGATGATTGAGTTGGAGACGTGCGTATCCATGCAGTCATGGGTGAACAGGAAGTACAGGAGGGAGCTGAATACGCACCCCTGTGGGGCCCCCGTGTTGAGGATCAGCATGACGGTGTTGCTGCCTACCTTCACCACCTGGGGTCGTCTCGTCACGAAGTCTAGGACCCAGTTGCAAAGGGAGGGGTTCAGACCCAGGGCCCTGAGCTTAGTGATGAGCTTGGAGGGCAGTGTGCAGTGCAATGGCGATTGTGTCGTCCGTGGATCTGTTGGGGCGGTATGGAAATTGCAGTGGGTCTAGGGTGTCGGATAAGGAGGAGGTGATATGGTCCTTAACTAGCCTCTCAAAGCACTTCAAGATGACAGAAGTGAGTGCTACAGGGCGATAGTCATTTAGTTCAGTTACCTTTGCTTTCTTGGGTACAGGAACAATGGTGGACATCTTGAAGCAAGTGGGGACAACATACTGGGATAGGAAGAGATTGAATGTGTCTGTAAACACTCCAGCCAGCTGTACTGTTGTTTTGCATCTTTGATTGCCTTACGGAGGACATAGCTGGTCTGTTTGTACACGTCCATGTTCCCAGTCACCTTGCCATGGTTAAATGCGGTGGTTCGCGCTTTCAGTTTTGCCGAAAGCTACCATCTATATATGGTGTTTGGTTTGGATAAGTTCCAATCGTCACAGTAGGAATAATATATTCTATGCACTTCTTGATGAACCCAGTCACCGAGTCAGTGTATACGTTGATACTTTTCCCAGAGGCGACCCGGAACATTTTCCAGTCCTCGTGATCAAAACAATCCTGAAGCATAGATTCCGATTGTTCAGACTAATGTAGAACAGACCTTACCACGGGTGCTTCCTGTTTAAGTTTCTGCTTATAGGCGGGGAGGAGCAGGATGGAGGAGTGCTTTGATTTGCCAAAGGGGGGGCAGGGGAGGGCCTTGTAGCTGTCCCAGAAGTGAGAGTAACATGGTCCAGCATGTTGGTAGAATTTCGGGAGCATTTTTCTCAGATTTCCTTTATTAAAGACCCCAACTACAATAAATGTGGCCTCAGGATATGCGGTTTCCAGTTTGCACAAAGTCAACTCAATCAAATCAAATTGTATTTGTCACATGTTTCGTAAACAACAGGTGTAGACTAATAGTGAAATGCTTACTTACGGGTCCTTTTCCAACAATGCAGAGTTAAAGATAAAGATAATATTTTAAAAAATACATGTAATAGTGACACAAGGAATAACAAATAACAATAACGAGTAAAAATAACATGGATATATACAGGGAGTAGCAGTACCGAATTGATGTGCAAGGGTACGAGGTAATTGAGGTAGCTATGTACATATACGTAGGAGTAAAGTGACTAGGCAACAGGATAGATAATAGACAGTAGCGGCAGCGTATGTGGTGAGTGTGAAAGTGTGTGTGTGGTGTCAGTATGTAGTGTGTGTGTTTCGGTGTCAGTGTAAGTATGTGTGAGTGTGTGGGTAGAGTCCAGTGTGTGTGCATAGAGTCAGTGCCTTCCTCTGCACCTGGTATAGAGGTTCTGGATGGTAGGGAGCTCGGCCCCTACCTCCCCGCCTATGAGCAAAAACTTAAACAGGAAGCACTGGGCTGTACTCACCACCCTCCGTAACGCCTTGCCTTGCAGTTGCCGTACCAAAACAAAATCAAATCATATCAAATGTTATTGGTCACATACACGTGTTTAGCAGATGTTATTGCGGGTGTAGCGAAATGCTTTATTTCTTTAGCCTCCTGAGGTTGAAGAGGCTCTGTTGCGCCTTCTTCACCACACTGTTTGTGTGGGTGGTCCATTTCAGTTTGTCAGTGACGTGTACGCCAAGGAACTTGAAGCTTTTCACCTTCTCCACTGCAGTCCCTGAAGTCCACGATCATCTCCTTTGTTTTGTTGACGTTGAGTGAGAGGTTATTTTCCTGGCACCACACTCCCAGAGCCCTCACCTCCTCCCTGTAGGCTGTCTCGTCATTGTTGGTAATCAAGCTTACTACTGTTGTGTCATCTGCAAACTTGATGATTGAGTTGGAGGCGTGCTTGGCCACGCAGTCATGGGTGAACAGGGAGTACAGGAGTGGGCTGAGCACGCACCCTTGTTGGGCCCCAGCGTTGAGGATCAGTGAAGTGGAGGTGTTGTTTCCTACCTTCACCACCTGGGGGCGGCCCGTCAGGAAGTCCAGGACCCAGTTGCACAGGGCGGGGTTCAGACCCAGGGCCTCAAGCTTAATGATGAGCTTGGAGGGTACTATGGTGTTGAAGGCTGAGCTATAGTCAATGAACAGCATTCTTACATAGGTATTCCTCTTGTCCAGATGGGATAGGGTAGTGTGCAGAGTGATGGCGATAGCATTGTCTGTGGATCGATTGGGGCGGTAAGCAAATTGAAGTGGGTTTAGGGTGGCAGGTATGGTAGAGGTGATATGATCCTTGACTAGTCTCTCAAAGCACTTCATGATGACAGAGGTGAGTGCTACGGGGCGATAGTCATTTAATTCAGTTACGTTTGCTTTCTTGGGTACAGGAACAATGGTGGCCATCTTGAAGCATGTGGTGACAGCAGACTGGGATAGGGAGAGATTGAATATGTCCGTAAACACACCTGCCAGCTGGTCTGTGCATGCTCTGAGGACGCGGCTAGGGATGCCGTCTGGGCCGGCAGCCTTGCGAGTGTTAACACGTTTAAATGTTTTACTCATGTCGGCCACGGAGAAGGAGAGCCCACATTCCTTGGTAGCGGGCCGTGTCGGTGGTACTGTGTTATCCTCAAAGCGGGCGAAGAAGGTGTTTAGTTTGTCCGGAAGCAAGACGTCGGTCTCGGCAACATGGCTGGTTTTCCTTTTGTAGTCCGTGATTGTCTGTAGACCCTTTCCTGAGCTAATAATGTAAAAAATAATACAAAAAAATACAAATACCGCAAAGTTTCCTAAGAGCTAGTTGCGAGGCCGCCATCTCCGTCGGCGCCATTACCAAGCGGTGATGCAGCCAGTCAAGATGCTCTCAATGGTGCAGCTGTGTAACTTTTTGAGGATCTGAGGGCCCATGCCAAATCTTTTCAGCCTCGTTAGGGGGATGAGGCACTGTCGTGCCCTCTTCACAACTATGTGGGTGTGTGTGGGCCATGTTAATTCCTTAATGATGTGGACACCGTGGAACTTGGAGCTCTTGACCCGCTCCACTACAGCCCCATCGATGTGGAAGGGGGCATGCTCGCCGCTCCGTTTCCTTTAGTCCACAATCAGCTCCTTTGTCTTACTGACATTGAAGTCCGGTGTAGTTCTCTGAGAGCCGTCGCGGTGTCGGCTTGGGGGGGGGGGGGGGGGAATATACAGGGCAGTGAATAATTTAAGAAAATTAATCTTTTTCACAGAGAATTCTTTCTTCCTGTCCGTGGGATGTATGGAGAACCCTGCTGGCTGTAAGGACGGGGACAATATATCCATTGAGAGCCATGATTCCGTAAAAAACAGAGTATGCTACAGTCCCTTATGTCTCAATGAAAGGAGATCTTCGCCTTGAGCTTGTCTACTTTATTGTCCAGGGACTGAACGTTAGAGAGTAATATACTTGGAAGCGGTGGATGGTTTGCTCGCCGCCTGACTAGAACCCCACTTCTCCTCCCTTTTCTCCGGCGTCAACATTTTGGTGTAGTGCCCAGGATGAATGGAGCTGCCTCGGGAAGTCCAAACAAAGGATCCATATCAGGGAAGTCAAATTTCTGTTCGGATTTCTCATGACTGACCGCCAATTTAATGTCCAAAAGTTATTTTTGGTTGAAGGACATAATACTTGAAACATTCTGAGCAAATAATGTAAGAAATAACACCAAAAAAAAGCTAAATACTGCACCTTGCCACCTAAATGTATGAAAATGTATGCACTCACTAACTGTAAGTCGCTCTGGATAAGAGCGTCTGCTAAATGACGTAAATGTAAAAGCATATCATATGGTAACACCAAAAATAATAACCAGCCTTGAAATTAAGCATATTCTCTCGTCTCAGTTATGAAGTGAAATCTCTCATTCTCTTTGTTGCCAGTGAATTTCAGTTGACAGAGATTGACATGCTTTGAAATAGAGAAGTGGCATGTGGTCTCGAGCCCGGATGGGGAAGGGGGGAAAAAAGTATCTATTTAAATAATAATGTCTCCAATCTGACTGCATGAAATTGTTCAAAGAAAGATGGAGTTACTATGTATAACCAACATAGAGGCAATGCAGTTCTAAATATACACAAATTGAACTATTTTCAGCGTACATTCATTTGAACTGTTCTGTTGCTATGCCTAAATGCCCTGCTATGGTGACAGGAGGTCACGTTTTCAATTAAACGTTTCACCCTCTACTTCCTTCATGTGACACCACAGCTGTCGATCACAATTACAGCAAAGCACTTCAGAGGCCTTTCTAAAATTGATGGTGGGTCTAAATATACCTTCTAAAACGACTGCTTCCTGTAATGTCTGAATTAGACTTATCACGAATGCAAGGCACGTGTAAATTCACCCTTACATCTTACAATTCTTAATTTACCATCAAGAGCAATAACAATATGGGCGTTTCATGTGAAAATTAGATATTTTCTGGTGAGAGGAAGGAAATTAAATGTATATGAAAGCATGAGGCAGAATGACTGTGAATCACTATAAGCAGTGGCAGTGCCTGATTCAAGTCTGTGAATCACATTCTAGTACAGCTTGGCCATATATTGTATATTACATTTTCAGTGAAGAAAAAAAGAAAAGGAAAGGAAAGGAAAGGAAAGGAAAGAAGGTGGAGGGAGAGAGCTGATGGGACAACCATTGTTATTTCTCTCGTTATGGTCAGCAACAGGCTGGAAACAAAGTATCTATTTAGACAGCTCTCCAAAGGCACTCAACTACTTGGTCAATGTTTTCTCTCCCCTTTCCTCCTTCTGTTTGTTACACTGGCACTTCCTTCTTCTCACCTGGATGGAAAATTACTGAGGATGGTAGCGGACTATATTGCCACTCCAATTTGCCATTCATTCTAAGCCTACAATAAAGTGTGTGCCCTCAGGCCTGGAGGGAAGTAAACACTGGGCGAAAAGGGTCCATTTCAGGGAATACAGTTGAAGTCGGAAGTTTACATACATTTAGGTTGGAGTCATTAAAACTCGTTTTTCAATCACTCCACAAATTTCATGTTAACAAACTATAGTTTTGGCAAGTCGGTTAGGACATCTACTTTGTGCATGACAAGTAATTTTTACAACAATTAATTACAGACAGATTATTTCACTTATAATTCACTGTATCACAATTCCAGTGGGTCAGAAGTTTACATACACTAAGTTGACTGTGCCTTTAAACAGCTTGGAAAATTCCAGAAAATGATGTCATGGCTTTAGAAGCTTCTGATAGGCTAATTGACATCTTTTGAGTCAATTGGAGGTGTACCTGTGGATGTATTTCAAGGCCTATCTTCAAACTCAGTGCCTCTTTGCTTGACATCATGGGAAAATCAAAAGAAATCAGCCAAGACCTCCGATTTTGTTTTTTGGGACCTCCACAAGTCTGGTTCATCCGGAGCAATTTCCAAACACCTGAAGGTACCACGTTCATCTGTACAAACAATAGTACGCAAGTATAAACACCATGGGACCACGCAACCGTCATACCGCTCAGGAAGGAGGCGCGTTCTGTCTCCTAGAGATGAACGTACTTTGGTGCGAAAAGTGCAAATCAATCCCAGAACAACAGCAAAGGACCTTGTGAAGATGCTGGAGGAAACAGGTACAAAAGTATCTATATCCACAGAAAAACGAGTCCTATATAGAAATAACCTGAAAGGCCACTCAGCAAGGAAGAAGCCACTGCTCCAAAACCGCCATAAAAAAGCCAGACTACGGTTTGCAACTGCACAAGGGGACAAAGATCGTACTTTTATGAGAAATGTCCTCTGGTCTGATGAAACAAAAATAGAACTGTTTGGCCATAATGAACATCAATCCTATAGAAAATGTGTGGGCAGAACTGAAAAAGCGTTTGCGAGCAAGGAGGCCTACAAACCTGACTCAGTTACACCAGCTCTGTCAAGAGGAATGGGCCAAAATTCACCCAATTTATTGTGGGAAGCTTGTGGAAGGCTACCCGAAACTTTGACCCAAGTTAAACAATTTAAAGACAATGCTACCAAACACTAATTGAGTGTATGTAAACTTCTGACCCACTGGGAATGTGATTAAAGAAATACAAGCTGAAATAAATAATTCTCTACTATTATTCTGACATTTCACATTCTTAAAATAAAGTGGTGATCCTAACTGACCTAAGACAGGGAATTTTCACTAGCATTAAAATGTCAGGAATTATGAAAAACTGAGTTTAAATGTATTTGGCTAAGGTGTATGTAAACGTCCAACTTCAACTGTATCTTTACATGACACGTTTTTGATATTCTAGAGAATACAGACCATTTTCAATGCATATTTTGAGTTTTGTGGATATGCACTAATCCAGATGTGTCTTTTAGACATACAGTGGGGAAAAAAAGTATTTAGTCAGCCACCAATTGTGCATGTTCTCCCACTTAAAAAGATGAGAGAGGCCTGTAATTTTCATCATAGGTACACGTCAACTATGACAGACAAATTGAGAAAAAGAATCCAGAAAATCACATTGTAGGATTTTTAATGAATTTATTTGCAAATTATGGTGGAAAATAAGTATTTGGTCATCTACAAACAAGCAAGATTTCTGGCTCTCACAGACCTGTAACTTCTTCTTTAAGAGGCTCCTCTGTCCTCCACTCGTTACCTGTATTAATGGCACCTGTTTGAACTTGTTATCAGTATAAAAGACACCTGTCCACAACCTCAAACAGTCACACTCCAAACTCCACTATGGCCAAGACCAAAGAGCTGTCAAAGGACACCAGAAACAAAATTGTAGACCTGCACCAGGCTGGGAAAACTGAATCTGCAATAGGTAAGCAGCTTGGTTTGAAGAAATCAACTGTGGGAGCAATTATTAGGAAATGGAAGACATACAAGACCACTGATAATCTCCCTCGATCTGGGGCTCCACGCAAGATCTCACCCCGTGGGGTCAAATTGATCACAATATCGGTGAGCAAAAATCCCAGAACCACACGGGGGGACCTAGTGAATGACCTGCAGAGAATTGGGACCAAAGTAACAAAGCCTACCATCAGTAACACACTACGCCGCCAGGGACTCAAATCCTGCAGTGCCAGACGTGTCCCCCTGCTTAAGCCAGTACATGTCCAGGCCCGTCTGAAGTTTGCTAGAGTGCATTTGGATGATCCAGAAGAGGATTGGGAGAATGTCATATGGTCAGATGAAACCAAAATATAACTTTTTGGTAAAAACTCAACTCGTCGTGTTTGGAGGACAAAGAATGCTGAGTTGCATCCAAAGAACACCATACCTACTGTGAAGCATGGGGGTGGAAACATCATGCTTTGGGGCTGTTTTTCTGCAAAGGGACCAGGACGACTGATCCGTGTAAAGGAAAGAATGAATGGGGCCATGTATCGTGAGATTTTGAGTGAAAACCTCCTTCCATCAGCAAGGGCATTGAAGATGAAACGTGGCTGGGTCTTTCAGCATGACAATGATCCCAAACACACCGCCTGGGCAACGAAGGAGTGGCTTCGTAAGAAGCATTTCAAGGTCCTGGAGTGGCCTAGCCAGTCTCCAGATCTCAACCCATAGAAAGTCTTTGGAGGGAGTTGAAAGTCTGTGTTGCCCAGCGACAGCCCCAAAACATCACTGCTCTAGAAGAGATCTGCATGGAGGAATGGGCCAAAATACCAGCAACAGTGTGTGAAAACCTTGTGAAGACTTACAGAAAACGTTTGACCTGTGTCATTGCCAACAAAGGGTATATAACAAAGTATTGAGAAACTTTTGTTATTGACCAAATACTTATTTTCCACCATAATTTGCAAAAAAATTCATAAAAAATCCTACAATGTGATTTTCTGGATTTTTTTCTAATTTTGTCTGTCATAGTTGACGTGTACCTATGATGAAAATTACAGGCCTCTCTCATCTTTTTAAGTGGGAGAACTTGCACAATTGGTGGCTGACTAAATACTTTTTTCCCCCACTGTATGCATCTGTTGGTCACAGATACAGTGCATTCGGAAAGTATTCAGACCCCTTATGTAACAATGGATTACATTGTTTTTTTCCCTCATCGATCTACACACAATACACCATAATGACAAAGCAAAAACAGGTTTTAGACATTTTTGCTAATTTATAAAAAATAAAAAACGGAAATATGACATTTACATAAGTATTCATACCCTTTACTCAGTACTTTGTTGAAGCACCTTTGGCAACAATTACAGCCTCGAGTCTTCTTGGGTATGACACTACAAGCTTTGCACAACTGTATTTGGGGAGTTTCTCCCATTGTTCGCTGCAGATCCTCTCAAGCGCTGTCAGGGTGGCTGGGGAGCGTCACTGCACAGCTATTTTCAGGTCTCTCCAGAGACGTTCGATCGGGTTCAAGTCCGGCCTCTGGCTGGGCCACTCAATGACATTAAAAAAATTGTCCCGAAGCCACTCCTGCGTTGTCTTGGCTGTGTGCTTAGGGTCGTTGTACTGTTGGAAGGTGAACCTTCACCCCAGTCTGAGGTCCTGAGAGCTTTGGAGCAGGTTTTCATCAAGGATCTCTTTGTACTTTGCTCCATTCATCTTTAGGTGCCTTTTGGCAAACTCCAAGCGGGCTGTCATGTGCCTTTTACTGAGGAGTGGCTTCCGTCTGGCCACTACCATAAAGACCTGATTGGTGGAGTGCTGCAGAGATGGTTGTCCTTCTGGAAGGTTCTCCCATCTCAACAGAGGAACTCTGGAGCTCTGTCAGAGTGACCATCGGGTTCTTGGTCACCTCCCTGACCAAGGCCCAATTGCTCAATTTGGCTGGGCGGCCAGCTCTAGGAAGAGTCTTGGTGGTTCCAAACTTCTTCCATTTAAGAATGATGGAGGCCACTGTGTTCTTGGGGACCTTCAATGCTGAAGAAATGTTTTGGTACCCTTCCCCAGATCTGTGCCTTGACACAATCCTGTCTCGGAGCTCTACGGACAATTCCTTCGACCTCATGGCTTGGTTTTTGCTTTGACATGCTCTGTCAACTGTGAAACCTTATATAGACAGGTGTGTGCCTTTCCAAATCATGTCCAATCAATTGAATTTACCACAGGTGGACTCCAATCAAGTTGTAGAAACATCTCAAGGATGATCAATGGAAACAGGATGCACTGGAGCTCAATTTCGAGTCTCATAGCAAAGGGTCTGAATACTTATGTAAATAAGTTATTTCTGTTTATTTATTTGTAATACATTTTCTAAAAACCTGTTTTTGCTTGGTCATTATGGGGCATTGTGTGTAGATTGATGTGGATAATGTTTTATGTAATGCATTTTAGAATCAGGCTGTAACGTAACAAAATGTGGAAAACACAAGGGGTTTGAACACTTTCCGAATGGGCCCCAGGAACTCGTCACAGTGTCTCTCTGCATTCAAATTGCCATTGATAAAATGCAATTGTGTTTGTTGTCCGTAGCTTATGCCTGCCCATACCACAACCACACAGGGCACTCTGTTCACAGCAAACCGCATGCCCACACAACGCCATACATGTGGTCTGCGGTTGTGAGGCCGGTTGGACATACTGTCAAATCCTCTAAAACGACGTTGGAGGTGACTTATGGTAGAGAAATTAACTTTCAATTCTCTGGCAACAGCTCTGGTGGACATTCCTGCAGTCAGCATGCCAATTGCACACTCCCTCGAAACTTGAGACATCTGTGGCATTATGTTGTGTGAAAAAACTGCACATTTATTGTCCCCAGCACAAGGTGCACCAGTTTGTTTGTTTTTTCACCTTTATTTAACCAGGAAGGCCAGATGATAACAAGATCTCATTTACAACTGCGACCTGGCCAAGATAAAGCAAAGCAGTGCGATAAAAACAACAACAACACAGAGTTACATATGGGATAAACAAACATACAGTCAATAACACAATAGAAAATCTATAGACAGTGTGTGCAAATGTAGTAAGTTATGGAGGTAAGGCAATAAATAGGCCATAGTGCAAAATAATTACAATTTAGTATTAACACTGGAGTGATAGATGTGCAGAAGATGATGTGCAAATAGAGATACTGGGGTGCAAATGAGCAAAAATAAATAACAATATGGGGATGAGGTAGTTGGGTGGGACTAATTACAGATGGGCTATGTACAGGTGCAGTGATCGGTAAGCTGCTCTGACAACTGATGCTTAAAGTTAGTGAGGGAGATAAGAGTCTCCAGTATCAGAGATTTTTGCAGTTCGTTCCAGTCATTAGCAGCAGAGAACTGGAAGGAATGGCGGCCAAAGGAGGTGTTGGCTTTGAGGATGACCAGTGAGATATACCTGCTGGAGTGCGTACTACGGGTGGGTGTTGCTATGGTGACCAATGAGCTAAGATCAGGCGGGGATTTGCCTAGCAGAGATTTATAGATGACCTGGAGCCAGTGGGATCGGCGACGAATATGTAGTGAGGGCCAGCCAACAAGAGCGTACAGGTCACAATGGTGGGTAGTATATGGGGCTTTGGTGACAAAACGGATGGCACTGTGATAGACTACATCCAATTGCTGAGTAGAGTGTTGGAGGCATGTTTGACAGCATGAGTGAAGGAGGCTTTGTTGCGAAATAGGAAGCCGATTCTAGATCTAACTTTGGATTGGAGATGCTTAATGTGAGTCTGGAAGGAGAGTTTACAGTCTAACCAGACACCTAGGTATTTGTAGTTGTCCACATATTCTAAGTCAGACCCGCCGAGAGTAGTGATTCTAGTCAGGCGGGTGGGCGGGTGCAAGCAGCGTTCGATTGAAGAGCATGCATTTAGTTTTACTAGCGTTTAAGAGCAGTTGGAGACTACGGAAGGAGTGTTGTATGTCATTGAAGCTCATTTGGAGGTTTGTTAACACAGTGTCCAATGAAGGGCCAGATGTATACAAAATGGTGTCGTCTGCGTAGAGGTGGATCTTAGAGTCACCAGCAGCAAGAGCGACATCATTGATATACACAGAGAATAGAGTCGACCCGAGAATTGAACCCTGTGGCACCCTCATAGAGACTGCCAGAGGTCTGGACAACAGGCCTTCCAATTTGACACATTGAACTCTGAGAAGTAGTTGGTGAACCAGGCGAGGCTGTCATTTGAGAAACCAAGGCTATTTAGTCTGCCAATAAGAATGCGGTGGTTGACAGAGTCGAAAGCCTTGGCCAGGTTGATGAAAACGGCTGCACAGTACTGTCTTTTATCGATAGTGGTTATAATATCGTTTAGGACCTTGAGCGTGGCTGAGGTGCACCCATGACCAGCTCGGAAACCAGATTGCATAGCGGAGAAGGTACGGTGGGATTCGAAATGGTCGGTGATCTGTTTGTTAACTTGGCTTTCAAATACTTTTGAAAGGCAGGGCAGGATGTATATAGGTCTGTAACAGTTTGGATCTAGAGTGTCACCCCCTTTGAAGAGGGGGATGACCGCGGCAGCTTTCCAATTTCTGGGGATCTCAGATGATACAAAGGAGAGGTGGAACAGGCTAGTAACAGGGGTTGCTACAATTTCGGCGGCTAATTTTAGAAAGAAAGGGTCTAGATTGTCTAGCCCAGCTGATTTGTAGGATTTTGCAGCTCTTTCAGAACATCAGCTATCTGAATTTGGGTGAAGGAGAAGCGGGGGGGCATGGGAAAGTTGCAGCGGAGGGTGCAGAGCTGGTGGCCGGGTTAGGGGTAGCCAGGTGGAAAGTATGGCCAGCCGTAGCAAAATGCTTATTGAGATTCTCGATTATCGTAGATTTATCGGTGGTGACAGTGTTTCCTAGCAGTGGGCAGCTGGGAGGAGATGCTCTTATTCTCCATGGACTTTACAGTGTCCCAAAACGTTTTGGAGTTAGTGCTACAGGATGCAAATTTCTGTTTGAAAAAGCTAGCCTTTGCTTTCCTAACTGATTGTGTATATTTGTTCCTGACTTCCCTGAAAAGTTGCATATCGCGGGGACTGTTCGATGCTAATGCAGTACGCCACAGGATGTTTTTGTGCTGGTTAAGGGCAGTCAAGTCTGGGGTGAACCAGGGGCTATATCTGTTCTTAGTTCTGAATTTTGTTAATGGGGCATGCTTATTTAAGATGGAGAGGAAAGCACTTTTAAAGAACAACCTGTGTAATGATAATGCTGTTTAGTCAGATTATTGATATGCCACACCTGTCAGGTGGATGGATTACCTTTGCAAAGGAGAAATCCTCACTAACAGGGATGTAAACAACATTTTTGAGAAATAAGCTTTTTGTGCATATACAGTGCCTTGCAAAAGTATTCATCCCCTTTCACGTTTTTCCTATTTGTTGCATTACAACCTGTACTTTTTTTTTATTTGGATTTCATGTAATGGACATACACAAAATAGTCCAAATTGGTGAAGTGAAAAAATAAAATAAAAATAGTTTCAAAAAATTCTAAATAACGGAAAAGTTGTGCATGCATATGTATTCATCCCCTTTGCTATGAAGCCCCTAAATAAGATCTGGTGCAACCAATTACCTTCAGAAGTCACATAATTAGTTCAATAAAGTCCACCTGTGTGCAATCTAAGTGTCACATGATCTGTCACATGATCTCAGTATATATATACACCTGTTCTGAAAGGCCCCAGAGTCTGCAACACCACTAAGCAAGGGGCACCACCAAGCAAGCGGCACCATGAAGACCAAGGAGCTCTCCAAACAGGTCAGGGACAAAGTTGTTGAGAAGTACAGATCAGGGTTGGGTTACAAAAAAATATCAGAAACTTTGAACATCCCACGGAGCACCATTAAATCCATTATTAAAATATTTAAAGAATATGGCACCACAACAAACCTGCCAAGAGAGGGCCGCCCACCAAAACTCACGGACCAGGCAAGGAGGGCATTAATCAGAGAGGCAACAAAGAGACCAAAGATAACCATGAAGGAGCTGCAAAGCTCCACAGCGGAGGTTGGATTATCTGTCCATAGGACCACTTTAAGCTGTACACTCCACAGAGCTGGGCTTTACGGAAGAGTGGCCAGAAAAAATCCATTGCTTAAAGAAAAAAATAAGCAAACACGTTTGGTGTTCACCAAAAGCCATGTGGGAGACTCCCCAAACATATGGAAGATGGTACTCTGGTCAGATGAGACTAAAATTGAGCTTTTTGGCCATCAAGGAAAATGCTATGTCTGGCGCATGGTGGTGGCAGCATCATGCTGTGGAGATGTTTTTCATCGGCAGGGACTGGGAAACTGGTCAGAATTGAAGGAATGATGGATGGCGCTAAATACAGGGAATTTATTAAGGGAAACCTGTTTCAGTCTTCCAGAGATTTGAGACTGGGACGGAGGTTCACCTTCCAGCAGGACAATGCATACTGCTAAAGCAACACTTGAGTGGTTTAAGGGGAAACATTTAAATGTCTTGGAATGGCCTAGTCAAAGCCCAGACTTCAATCCAATTGAGAATCTGTGGTATGACTTAAAGATTGCTGTACACCAGCGGAACCCATCCAACTTGAAGGAGCTGGAGCAGTTTTGCCTTGAAGAATGGGCAAAAATCCCAGTGGCTAAATGTGCCAAGCTTATAGAGACATACCCCAAGAGACTTGCAGCTGTAATTGCTGCAAAAGGTGGATCTACAAAGTATTGACTTTGGAGGGGGTGAATAGTTATGCACGCTCAAGTTCAGTTTTTTTTGTCTTATTTCTTGTATGTGTCACAATAAAACATATTTTGTATCTTCAAAGTGGTAGGCATGTTGTGTAAATCAAATGATACAAACCCCCCCAAAATCCATTTTAATTCCAGGTTGTAAGGCAACAAAATGGGAAAAATGCCAACGGGGGTGAATACTTTCGCAAGCCACTGTATAACATTTCTGGGATATTTTATTTCAGCTCATGAAACAACAATTTACATATTGTGTTCATATTTTTGTTCAGTGTATAATGGATTTATACCCCAGTCTAGTTGATGGCGGTAACACAATATAAATTGGATGTCAACTGCCGTTAAACCTCACCGAAGAAGAAGAAGCCTAGCAACAACCATCACATATTTTCTGCTGTGGAGTTCCAACTGTTGAATATAGGCGCCGCGCCACAAATGAGTGTGTAAACGGTGTATGGTCGAACTGACAATTGGAGAACAAAGAAGTGAGAAACCATTTAGAAAATACCTCAAAGAAGTTAACACTAAAGTGAGTAGCTAATTTGAGATGTTTTTTTTACGGCCCAGTACATCACTGGGGCAAAGCTTCCTGCCATCCAGGACCTCTATACCAGGCGGTGTCAGAGGAAGGCCCTCAAAATTGTCAAAGACTCCAGCCACCCTAGTCATAGACTGTTCTCTCTGCTATCGCACGGCAAGCGGTACTGGAGTGCCAAGTCTAGGTCCAAAAGACTTCTCAACAGCTTCTACCCCCAAGCCATAAGACTCCTGAACAGCTAATCATGGCTACCCGGACTATTTGCACTGCCCCCCCACCCCATCCTTTTTACGCTGCTGCTACTCTGTTAAGTATTTATGCATAGTCACTTTAACTCTACCCACATGTACATATTACCTCAACTACCTCAACTAGCCGGTGCCCCCGCACATTGACTCTGCAACGGTACCCCCCTGTATATATAGCCTCCCTACTGTCACTTTATTTTACTTCTGCTCTTTTTTTTCTCAACACTTTTTTTGTTGTTGTTTTATTCTTACTTTTTTTTATTTTTATAAATGCACTGTTGGTTAAGGGCTGTAAGTAAGCATTTCACTGTAATGTCTGCACCTGTTGTATTCGGCGCATGTGACCAATACAATTTGATTGATTTGATTGATTTGAATCTTAGTAACTACAATGAAGAACGTTAGCTAATTTGGCCAGCAGCCAGTAGGGCTAGCTGCTTGATAGGGGGGTAAAAGCCACCTGATAGCCTAGCTAGCTAACAACTAACAAAATTGCCTTCCCTTAATTTTTACCCCCTTTCAAGCCTCAAGGTGACAGCTAACGGTTTAAAACTTTTAGGCAAATGTTGTTTTATAGGTTAATATAAGCTAGCTAGCTAACTAACTTAGCTAGCTAGCAACTTGGCCAGCTAGCTTGTTCCAGTTAGTTATTGTCATGAATGAAGCAGGTAGAGCAGCTACGTTGTGGTATGGTTACGTGAAATGACTATTTTCTTGCAATATCGACACAGTTTTGATTCATGATTTATGCATTGACAGTTTGGAGTCGATCACAGACCAACACTACCACCACTTTGGGTCTGGACTGCGAGGGACCGCCGCTGATGACAAAACTGCACCCATTGCATCCATCGTCCATAACAAACAGGGCAGGCAGGGGTGTTGAGGGTGTGCAACTTTTATTTTCTGTTAACCTTTTACTGCAGTGGGATAAATCAGGGTCTCACTGTGTTTCTTGGTGGGTGGTCTTAAACAAATCTACTTGGAAACAAAAGTATACACCTCACACACGTGGTTATGGTCTTACAAAGAGAGATGAAATGTATTCCATTTTGAGTTTGTATCCCAATACTACACTTTATACACAGTACCAGTCAAACGTTTGGACACACCTACTCATTCAAGAGTTTTTCTTTATTTTTACTATTTCCTTCTTTCTAGAATAATAGTGAAGAAATCACAACTAAGAAATAACACATATAGAATCATGTAGTAACCAAAAAAGTATTAAACAAATCAAAATATATTTTAGATTTTAGATTCTTCAAAGTAGCCTCCCTTTGCCTTGATGACAGCTTTGCACATTCTTGGCATTCTCTCAACCAGCTTCATGAGGTAGTCACCTGGAATGCATTTCAATTAACATGTGTGCCATCTTAAAAGTTAATTTGTGGAACTTCTTTCTTCTTAATGCGTTTGAGCCAATCAGTTGTGTTGTGACAAGGTAGGAGTGGTATACGGAAGATAGCCCTATTTGGTAAAAGACCAAGTCCATATTATGGCAAGAACTACTCAAATAAGCAAAGAGAAATGAAAGTCCAGCATTACTTCAAGACATGAAGGTCAGTTAATGCGGAACATTTCAAGAACTTTGAAAGTTTCTTCAAGTGCAGTCGCAAAAACCATCAAGCGCTATGATGAAACTGGCTCTCATGAGGACCGCCACAGGAAAGGAAGACCCAGATTTACCTCTGCTGCAGAGGATAAGTTCCTTAGAGTTACCAGCCTCAGAAATTGCAGCCCAAATAAATGCTTCATAGAGTTCAAGTAACAGACACATCTCAACATCAACTGTTCAGAGGAGACTGCGTGAATCAGGCCTTCATGGTCGAATTGCTGCAAAGAAACCACTACTAAAGGACACCAATAAGAAGAAGATACTTGCTTGGGCCAAGAAACACCAGCAATGGACATTAGACCGGTGGAAATCTGTCCTTTGGTCTGATGAGTCCAAAATTTGAGATTTTTGGTTCCAACTGCTGTGTCTTTGTGAGACGCAGAGTAGGTGAACGGATGATCTCCGCATGTCTGGTTCCCACCATGAAGCATGGACGAGGAGGTGTGATGGTGCTTTGCTGGTGACACTGTCTGTGATTTATTTAGAAGTCAAGGCACACTTAACCAGCATGGCTACCACAGCATTCTGCAGCGATAAGCCACCCCATCTGGTTTGCGCTTAGTGGGACTATAATTTGTTTTTCAACAGGACAATGACCCAAAACACACCTACAGGCTGTGTAAGGGCCATTTGACCAAGGAGAGTGATGGAGTGCTGCATCAGATGACCTGACCTCCACAATCACCCTACCTCAACCCAATTGAGATGGTTTGGGATGAGTTGGACCGCAGAGTGAAGGAAAAGCAGCCAGCAAGTGCTCAGCATATGTGGGAACTCCTTCAAGACTGTTGGAAAAGCATTCCAGGTGAACCTGGTTGAGAGAATGCCAAGAGCGTGCAAAGCTGTCACCAAGGCAAAGGGTGGCTACTTTGAAGAATGTAAAATATAACATATTTGTTTCATACTTTTTTGGTTTCTACATGATTCCATATGTGTTATTTCATAGTTTTGATGTCTTCACTATTATTCTACAATGTAGAAAATAGTAAAAATAAAGAAAAACCCTTCAATGAGTAGGTGTCCAAACTTTTGACTGGTACTGTACATCAAAGAAGACTGAAATATAACAAAACCGTTTGACATAGAAACACCAGAGTATTTAAAAGAGAATGGTTTATTAATTATGAAATTATGATAAATATGAATACCATTCCACCCATGAGGGCCACTAAATACATTTTTAGCAAAGATTGGCATACATTTACAATTTCACAGAAAACAGGTGTTGTGATTGGAGCTCTGGATTTGCTATGCTGCATTTTTTAAACGGAAATAGCAGAGATGTGCTTTGGAAATAGCAACTTGGATTAAATATGACGATGTTCACCTTTCTGTGCCTTGTATAGCCTACTACTGAATATGGTGCAAATGTATGCTCAGATATGTCACCTTCACATGTGAAGAAGCACAATGATTTTCGACACCTGAACAGGTAAAATCATTTGGTCACTGGACATTTAATGAGTCGGATTTAGACCATTTTCGATCAGACATGCAAGGATGAATATTACACATCATGTAAGGATATCTATTGAAATTAACCTTCTTTTTTTTTACGGATACATAAATGATCAGGTAATGACTACAGATATGATACATTTCTGAAAATATGTAAGCGGGTGCACATGCATCAGGTGCGTGTTCCGCTGTGCCGAATACCGGTGTTTCATTTGTTGTGTTTGGGTTGTTTTGTAGGTTGTTTTCCTGGTGTGCGTGGACTCCATCGTGTAACGATCAGCTGTGGCTGTATTCTGATGGGGCCATATTTATACGGTCAGTGTTCACCTTAGTGTTGTGGGTTTTTGTTCCGTATCAGTCATTGTAACTGAGGACTTCACGATTCGTCATTGTTTGTTGTTTTGCATTGAGTACTTTAAGTAAATAAAGTCATGTTCGTATCGCACGCTGCGCCTTGGTCCACTCACTTAGTAGACGTTCGTGACAGAAAAACCCACCGTACCAGGACCAAGCAGCGTGTCCAGGAGCCAAGGGTCTGGACATGGGAGGAGATTTTGGATGGTAAAGGGTCTTGGACTTGGGAGGAAATCCTGGATGGGATGGATCGCCGGCCATGGAGTAAAACAGTGGAGAGGCGACTGAGAGAGGAGCAACGGCGTCAGCAGGGCCATCGTCGGAAGGACGAGAGGCAACCCCAAAAAGTTTTTTTGGGGGGGCACATGGCTTGGGCGGCTGGGCAGCAGGAGGCTGCCACAGGGAGACGTGGAGAGAAGGCTACCGGATTACGGGAGCCATTGGCGAGTAGAGGGAGGGAAGTAGTTGAGGCACGGCGTGAGAGACTGAGGTGTGTTACCAGTCCGGTCCGGCCCGTTCCTGATCCCCGGTTAAGGCCAGTGGTGTGTGTTCCCAGTACGGACCGGCCTGTTCCTACTCCACGCACCAAGCCCACGGTGTGCGTCGCCAGTCCAGCCCGGCCGGTTCCTGTTCCACGCACTAAGCCTGCGGTGTGCGTCGCCAGCCCTGTCCGGCCGGTTCCTGCTCCACGCACTAGGTTTACGGTGTGCGTCGCCAGTCCAGCCCGGCCGGTTCCTGTTCCACGCACTAAGCCTGCGGTGTGCGTCGCCAGCCCAGCCCGGCCTGTTCCTGCTCCACGCACAAAGCCTACGGTGTGCGTCGCCAGCCCAGCCCGGCCTGTCCCTGCTCCACGCACAAAGCCTACGGTGTGCGTCGCCAGCCCGACCCGGCCTGTTCCTGCTCCACGCACAAAGCCTACGGTGTGCGTCGCCAGCCCAGCCCGGCCTGTTCCTGCTCCACGCACAAAGCCTACGGTGTGCGTCGCCAGCCCAGCCCGGCCTGTTCCTGCTCCACGCACAAAGCCTACGGTGTGCGTCGCCAGCCCAGCCCGGCCTGTCCCTGCTCTACGCACAAAGCCTACGGTGTGCGTCGTCGGCCTGGTCCAGCCCGTTCCTGCTACTCGCACCAAGCCAAGGGTGCGAGTCGTCAGCTTGGTCCAGCCCGTTCCTGCTACTCGCACCAAGCCAGGGGTACGAGTCGTCGGCCTGGTCCAGCCCGTTCCTGCTACTCGCACCAAGCCAAGGGTGCGAGTCGTCAGCCTGGTTCAGCTCGTCCCTGCTACTCGCACCAAGCCAAGGGTGCGAGCCGTCAGCCTGATCCAGCCCATTCCTGCTACTCGCACCAAGCCAGGGATGCGAGTCGTCAGCCTGGTGAGGCCCGTTCCGGCTCCACGCATCAAGCCTAGGGTGCGTATCGTCAGCCAGGTCCGGTCCGTTCCTGCCTCACGCGCCAAGCCAGGGGTGCGCGTCGTCAGTCCAGATCCTACCAGCTGGGTCAGATCGGACCGGGGGCGCTACGGGGGGATTGAAGAAGGGTGGTGGTCAAGCCCGGAGCCGGAGCCGCCTCCGAGGAGCAACACCCACCCAGCCCTCCCCTATTTGGGGTGTAGGCGCGGTCGGAGTCCGCGCCTTTAGGGGGGGGTACTGTCACGCTCTGGCTCCGGGACTGTGTATTTTGAGCCAGGGTGTGTTCATTTGGTTGTGTTTGGTATTGGTTGTGTTGTATTTGGTTGTGTTTCCTTGTTTGGTCGTGTGACTCCCAATCAGTGCTAACGAGTGTCAGCTGTCGGCTCGTTATCTCTGATTGGGAGCCATATTTATACTGTCAGTGTTCACCTTAGTGTTGTGGGTTTTTGTTCCGTATCAGTCATTGTAACTGAGGACTTCACGATTCGTCATTGTTTGTTGTTTTGCATTGAGTACTTTAAGTAAATAAAGTCATGTTCGTATCGCACGCTGCGCCTTGGTCCACTCACTTAGTAGACGTTCGTGACAGCGTGTCTTGAACGTATCTCACCCCAAATATCTCTCTGGACTCATACGGTAGCAGGGAGATTTCTGAGGTCCGGATTGGATGCATGTAGAAACTGTCCCATTATGGCAATATCCTAGCTCTGTATATGAAAGTAAGGACATGAGTATCTGGAGCATGTCTATTCCTTACATCTAATAAAATGTCAGATATCCGGAAATATATAGATAAAGATATCTCCTGATATTGACCGTTTGTGCCCAGTGAAAAGTAATTCCACTACCAAAAAATAGCAAAGCACCCTTTACTGGTTCAAACAGCTGACCAATCAGCCTGCTACCAACCCTTAGTAAACTTTTTGACCAGATACAATGCTATTTCACAGTAAACTTATTAACAACCGACTTTCAGCACGCTTATAGATGTGTTGGTTGTTTAGCAACAACAGAAAAACGACGCGTGCGCAACTATGGGGCAAAACAGACAGGGTTGGCTCAGATTGTTGATAACATGTCAACAATGTTTTTTGAAAACATAAATAAAGTTGCACAATGAGCACTCAAATACATCATTACAGTTGTTGGTTAGCTAGCTAGCTAGCAAGCAAATTTGAGCCATATTAGCATAGACACGACATCAGTCAAAACACCTCAAAACAAGACATGGTATCAAGAACAAGATCAAACGAGCTGAAACAAGCCACTTATGATTCACCACATGGAAGTTTCTTGTCACTGTTGCTAAGTATCTGGCCATCCAGAACCATAACAACACACAGTCTTCTGCCGCTTTGAAGCGTGCACATCATTTTCATGACATTGTCAGCTAACCCGTCTATAGGGAAGGGCAATCAACATGCACGACACTGACACAAATTACCGATGATTGGCTGAAAGAAATGTAAAATAAGAAGATCATGGGAGCAGTTATGTTATACTTCAGTGCAGCTTTTGACATTTTCGATCATAGTCTGCTGCTGGAAAATAATGTGTATTATGGCTTCACATCCTCTGCCATATCGTGGATCGAGAGTGACCTATCTAACAGAACACAGAGGGTGTTCTTTAATGGAAGCCTCTCTAAAGTAAACAAGGTAGAGTCTTGGCCCCTTACTTTTTGTACTTTTACCCCTTTTTCTCCCAAATTGGTAGTTACAGTCTTGTCCCATCGCTGCAACTCCCCTACGGACTCGGGAGAGGAGAAGGTCAAGAGCCATGCGTCCTCCGAAACACGACCCTGCCAAGCCGCACTGCTTCTTGACAAACTGCTCGCTTAACCCAGAAGCCAGCCACACCAAACACCGAAGTCAGCTTGCAGGCGCCCGGCCCGCACAAGGAGTCGCTAGAGCGCGATGAGACAAGGAAATCCCAGCCGGCCAAACCCTCCCCTAACCCAGACAACGCTGGGCCAATTGTGCACCGCCTCATGGGTCTCCCGGTCACGGCCGGCTGTGACACAGCCTGGGATCGAACCCGGGTCTGTAGTGACGCCTCAAGCACTGCGATGCAGTGCCTTAGACAGCTGAGCCACTCGTGAGGCCTTTTTTTCATTTTTTCTAATGACCTACCACTAGCGTTGAGTAAAGCCTGTGTGTCTATGTACACTGATGACTCAACATTATACACGTCAGCTACCACAGCAAGTGAAATCACTGCAACACTTAACAAAGCGCTGTAGTCAGTTTTAGAATGGGGTGGCTAGTAATAAGCTAGTCCTAAACATATCAAAAACTAAAAGCATAGTATTTGGGACAAATTATTCACTAAACCCTAAACCTCATTGTTACAGGCTCTGGTTTTCATTTTCAAGGTTGGTTCTATTTACTGTAGGTGTGGACACACACTGATTGGAATCATCCTCGTTGGTCAGGATGTGTTGCACCTGTCGTCTCATTAGTCAGTCGTTAGTCTCACCTGTTGAGGAGACTAAACTGCTTGGTGTAACCCAAGACTGTAAACTGACATGGTCAAAACATTCTGATGCAACGGTAACTAAGATGGGGAGAGGTCTGTCCGTGATAAAGAGCTGCTCTGCTTTCTTGACATCACAATCAACAAAACAAGTGCTACAGGCCTTAGTTTTAACACACCTGGACCACTGCCCAGTTAAATGGCCAAGTGCCACAAAGAAGGACATAGGCAAATTACAGTTGGCCCAGATCAAACCAGTGTACACGGAGGGCTAATTTCAATAACATGCATGTCTATCTCTCCTGGCTCAAAGTAGAGGAGAGATTGACTGCATCACTTTTTGTCTTTGTGAGAGGTATCAACGTGTTGAAAGCACCGAACTGTCTGTTCAAACAGCTAACACACAGCTGAGACACCCATTCATACCTCACAAGACATGCCACCAGGGGCCTCTTCACAGTCCCGAAGTCCAGAACAGACTCTGGGAAATGCACAGTACTACATAGAGCCATGACTACATGGAACTCTCTTCCACATCAAGAAACTAAGCGAGCAATAAAATCAGATTGAAAAAACAACACCTCACGGCACAAAGCGGACTGTGAAGAGACACACACACTCTAACACATATATTCCACACACATTTTATACTGTACATTTGTAGTAATGGAGCAATGCCTCCTGTAGCTCAGTTGGTAGAGCATGGCGCTTGCAACGCCAGGGTTGTGGGTTCGATTCCCACAGGGGGCCAGTATGAAAAATGTATGCACTCACTAATTGTAAGTCGCTCTGGATAAGAGCGTCTGCTAAATGACAAAAAGAAAAAGAAAAGAAAAAAGTATGATGCCCAATTTGTAGTTTGATGTACTGTTTTATTCATGATGTAGACTATTGTTTTATTGCTGTTTGGACCCCTGAGTGAGTGAGAGTCTCTCTCTCTCACTCTCTCTCTCGACAGTCAGATCTTACACACAGTGAGGGAAAAAAGTATTTGATCCCCTGCTGATTTTGTACGTTTGCCCACTGACAAAGAAATGATCAGTCTATAATTATTATTATAATGGTAGGTTTATTTGAACAGTGAGAGACAGAATAACAACAAAAAGGGAGTGCTCCTAATCTCAGCTTGTTACCTGTATAAAAGACACCTGTCCGCAGAAGCAATCAATCAATCAGATTCCAAACTCTCCACCATGGCCAAGACCAAAGACCTCTCCAAGGATGTCAGGGACAAGATTGTAGACCTACACAAGGCTGGAATGGGCTACAAGACCATCGCCAAGCAGCTTGGTGAGAAGGTGCAAGATCTCACCTCGTGGAGTTGCAATGATCATAAGAACGGTGAGGAATCAGCCCAGAACTACACGGGAGGATCTTGTCAATGATCTCAAGGCAGCTGGGATCATAGTCACCAAGAAAACAATTGGTAACACACTACGCCGTGAAGGACTGAAATCCTGCAGCGCCCGCAAGGTCCCCCTGCTCAAGAACGCACATATACAGGCCCGTCTGAAGTTTGCCAATGAACATCTGAATGATTCAGAGGAGAACTGGGTGAAAGTGTTGTGGTCAGATGACACCAAAATCGAGATCTTTGGCATCAACTCAACTCGCCGTGTTTGGAGGAGGAGGAATGCTGCCTATGACCCCAAGAACACCATCCCCACCGTCAAACATGGAGGTGGAAACATTATGCTCGAAACCTTAATGACAGCCTCGAAACCTTAATGACTTGGAGAAGATCTGCAAAGAGGAGTGGGACAAAATCCCTCCTGAGATGTGTGCAAACCTGGTGGCCAACTACAAGAAATGTCTGACCTCTGTGATTGCCAACAAGGGTTTTGCCACCAAGTACTAAGTCATGTTTTGCAGAGGGGTCAAATACTTATTTCCCTCATTAAAATGCAAATCAATGTATAACATTTTTGACATGCGTTTTTCTGGATTTTTTTGTTGTTATTCTGTCTCTCACTGTTGAAATAAACCTACCATTAAAATTATAGACTGATCATGTCTTTGTCAGTGGGCAAACGTACAAAATCAGCAGGGGATCAAATACTTTTTTCCCTCACTGTACTGTACAATATGATAACAGTATTTCCATTTTCACAGGGAAATGAACTATAATCCTGATCTGCTGCTCTTATTTATAACACTTCCTAATCCTATTTCAAATATGATTCTGGTGTCCTCTCCTGTATACATGCTTTGGCGTTGTGGATTTAACATTTGGTGTTGACATGACAGATTACTGATCCTGGGGGTGTGTCTGGGGAATCGAGGGGTGTGTTAAAATACTCTGTACACATTAAATGAACATTAGCATGTACAGTAACAATACAACATGGTAGAGAATGAACAGTGAGTCACTTGGAAAGAGGAGAAGCATGGCGAAGTGAAGTAATAATCATTGTGCTTAAACAACCCGTTTGAGATCAACTAGCTTGGCACCCCTGGGCCGCATGGAGAGAGAGAGAGGCTTCATGGGGGCTGTTGAGGGAGGAAAAGCAATCACTGCAATCCTATTCAAACACTCACTCCCTACTTCAGACTGTGTAAGGAAACAGTAATGTGACTAGAATAGAGACTAGAAAATGTATCCTCCAGCTACCCTCAGTCGGTCTGTCTGTCTATCCTCCATGTTAATGAGGTCTGCAGTTACAAACTGCTTGTCTGCATCCGTCCACCCACCGTCCACCCACCCACCCTCCTGGTCGATGTGTCAGAGTGACCCCTGGGCTCCGGCTCTTCTGCTGTCTGGTCTGGTCTGTAACAGAGCTGTGCCGTATCCTCTCCTCTGTTTCTCTAGTCAGGCAACAACTGTCTGTCATATAAAACAGTGAAGCTGTTGGAGAGCTATGAGGGATTCTCATTTAATATATGTAATATATATATAAAAAGCCTAAGGATGTTGAAAGGTTCATCAAGCGTGTTAAAGACCTTCCGGACCTTTCTTAAATGTACAGTCGTGGTCAAAGGTTTTGAGAATGACACAAATATAAATGTTCACAAAGTCTGCTGCCTCAGTTTTTATGATGGCAATTTGCATATACTCCAGAATGTTATGAAGAGTGATCAGATGAATTGCAATTAATTGCAAAGTCCCTCTTTGCCAAGAAAATGAACTTAATCCCCAAAAAACATTTACACTGCATTTCAGCCCTGCCAGAAAAGGACCAGCTGACATCATGTCAGTGATTATCTCGTTAACACAGGTGAGAGTGTTGACGAGGACAAGGCTGGAGATCACTCTGTCGTGCTGATTGAGTTAGAATAACAGACTGGAAGCTTTAAAAGGAGGGTGGTGCTTGAAATCATTGTTCTTCCTCTATTAACCATGGTTACCTGCAAGGAAACACGTGCCGTCATCATTGCTTTGCACAAAAAGGGCTTCACAGGCAAGGATATAGCTGCTAGTAAGATTGCACCTAAATCAACCATTTATCGGATCATCAAGATCTTCAAGGAGAAAGGTTCAATTGTTGTGAAGAAGGCGTCAGGGCGCCCAAGAAAGTCCAGCAAGTGCCAGGACCGTCTCCTAAAGTTGATCCAGCTGCGGGATCGGGGCACCACCAGTGCAGAGCTTGCTCAGGAATGGCAGCAGGCAGGTGTGAGTAAATCTGCATGCACAGTGAGGGGAAGACTTTTGGAGGATGGCCTGGTGTCAAGAAGGGCAGCGGGGAAGCCACTTCTCTCCAGGAAAAACATCAGGGACAGACTGATATTCTGCAAAAGGTACAGGGATTGGACTGCTGAGGCCTGGGGTAAAGTCATTTTCTCTGATGAATCCCCTTTCTGATTGTTTGGGGCATCCGGAAAAAAGCTTGTCCGGAGAAGACAAGGTGAGTGCTACCATCAGTCCTGTGTTATGCCAACAGTAAAGCATCCTGAGACCATTCATGTGTGGGGTTACTTCTCAGCCAAGGGAGTGGGCTCACTCACAATTTTGCCTAAGAACACAGCCATGAATAAAGAATGGTACCAACACATCCTCCGAGAGCAACTTCTCCCAACCATCCAAGAACAGTTTGGTGACGAACAATGCCTTTTCCAGCATGATGGAGCACCTTGCCATAAGGCAAAAGTGATAACTAAGTGGCTCAGGGAACAAAACATTGACATTTTGGGTCCATGGCCAGGAAACTCCCCAGACCTTAATCCCATTGAGAACTTGTGGTCAATCCTCAAGAGGCGGGTGGACAAACAAAAACCCACAAATACTGACAAACTCCAAGCATTGATTATGCAAGAATGGGCTGCCTTCAGTCAGGATGTGGCCCAGAAGTTAATTGACAGCATGCCAGGGTGGATTGCAGAGGTCTTGAAAAAGAAGGGTTTAAGACTGCAAATATTGACTCTTTGCATAAACTTAATGTAATTGTCAATAAAAGCCTTTGACACGTATGGAATGCTTGTAATTATACTTCAGTATACCATAGTAACATCTGACAAAAATATCTAAAAACACTGAAGTAGCAAACTTTGTGAAGACCAATACTTGTGTCATTCTCAAAACTTTTGACCACGACTGTAGAAAGGCGAGTATGTAAGTCTGAGTATGTAACTACTGTAATAGTACAAAAAAAACTAGCCTTGTTGCTGCCAAGGGCAACAACAGGTTGCCATTAGCGACTGAAGGCACAGTGTGCTATCAGAGTGGAGAAAAACAACTAAAGCAGCACAGTGGGTTAGTTGGGGGAGCGGGCTGCTGTGAAAGCTTTTCCATGTTCAGTCACCAAGCCTTACTCGACTTCGACTAGCCTTGCTCCTCAGGCTGGATGGAGGGATCTAACCCTACCCCTAGAGTCTCTCTCTCTCTCCCCTCTCTCTTTCTCGCTCTGTTCTCTCTCTCTCTCTCTCTGCTTTCTTTCACATGAGCACTGACTCCTCCAGTCCATCCACTGACTGCCTGGTGAGGTCTCTGCAGAGGCCTCCAGAGGTTGCCTGGTTACCCAAACTCCTTGCTCTAGCCAAAGGCTACACCCATGGACATTTGTTTCTTCTCCTCAATGAGTCTGGATCTGAGTACCTCCCCGACGATTTCCAGAAACCGATGGGTTGGGCCAGAGCCAGAAACACATGTGGTTAAAGCAGCGTTTAGAAAACGTGTCATTGGCTTTGATACTCTGATTGGATAGAGATGATCCAATCGCAGATGTTTTGTACAACATCCCTAATTTTGACGTCACCACAAACGACTTCAACGATTGCAGTCTCAGACTGAATTATGCAGCGAACATAGAGCAGCGGAAGAATTCAGTTTGAGTCATCAGGCAACTCCAGAGGTTGCTCCAGCTCTTTGTTGAGGGCACTCTGGGCACGTGAGGACAGGAGCTGTCACAAGCCTGACGGGGCTGGAGACGGAGTGGAAAGGAGGGGAAGACTCTCAGAGGGGAAAGGAGGAGAGAAACACAGCTGCAGAGGTGGTGACAAACGCCTTGTCACCCGAGGCACCCTCTCTGTGAATCTGTTTGAGTGTGTGCGTGTGTGAATTATAATCAACGTTGATGATTAACTGTTGGGAAGGAAGGAGCCCAAAATAAACAGAGCCCTGAGCTCCACATCATCATTACTATTTTCCCTCATTCTGTGATTAGACTGACAAAGTCACTCTGCACCACAACTATTTGTTTGTCACTAATTAGGCTTTAAGCATTCTGTTGTAAACTGTTCTATTAAACAGAAAAGAAAATCTCACAATTCCATGTCCCCTGCTACTCACTGTTCCTAGTTCCACAGAACAGAAAGATCCAGATTATACAGAGAAAACCTAGTGAAGGTAATGAAATGGTTGAGAGCTCTGACCGTATCATTACTAGGGTACATGGTCATCAGAGCTGGTCCACTGCAGGGAGCAGATGGAGAGAGTGATAAGAGATCATGGTTATTACGCTCATAACAACAGCCAGCTTTCCAGCCTTCCCTTCAGCCATCCTCAGTATCACAAAACAGAACAGAACCTTGAGAAAAGTAACTTGCTTTAAGACAGGCAGTAAAAGGGTACGCCTCGTAAAGGTCCTTTATGTGCAATCAATACCTGCACCAATGAGCAGCTCTCTGTTTCTGTTCTGTCTGCCCTGTCTGAGAGCCTAAAGACACAGTCTCAAACTGTAAGGGCCCTGATTTTTTTATTAGCTTTCCCTGTTGTCTTGTCCTGACAGCTATTCTCTATGTAGGACAGGCTGAGAGCAGGGATAAGGAGTGTTAAGCTGCTGCATGAGCATGGCAACGCCGTTTCAACCTCTCCCCATGATGCTTACACATACTCCACTGCAGATGGAAATATATACGAAAACAGATTACAAATGATAGACATCAATAAAGGATGAGTTTGATGCATAGCGGTAAATCTACTGTATAATACTTGATGCACTATAATGCACAGTGCGTCAGTGTTTGTTGTGCTATTGTCATTTGAAAGTGAGAAAGTTTAAAGCCCTGTAAAAGGAAATGCCATACTGATTAATTTCTGGTGTGATGCAGACAGAGTCATTCCCATAGTGCTGCGACTGCAGTTCAAATCCTCCAATGGCCCATTGGAACAGAGACTAGCTTATTAGTCACCACAGAACAGAACACATGGGTAATGAAGGAGGATGAACAGGGGAAATGGGGAAACTAAGAGCCATGTATTTATGGATAACAGTTCTGGAGAAACTGAAGACGGGTGCTTTTTGTGAATAGTTTAAAGTTTTAATGTCACATGCACAAGTACAGTGAAATGCCTTTCTTGCAAGCTCCAAATACCACAGCAGGTGAATAGTGAAAACATCTCAGTAATATCATGTCATTTTTACAGTTAAGAGTAAATAAAGACTGTCACTAAGTACAGACAGGGCCAAGTCAACACTTAAAATGGACAACAGTCTCATTTGATGTCTCAGTCAAATGTATTCCAATTGAACACAAGACATTGGCTTTATTTTAAAACAAGGATGCAGATGACTTAATGGGCTCTGTCTGGTATGTCTAGAGAATGAAATAAACTCTGGCACCAAAGCGATGATAACACTGAAAGTATCCTCTTAAGATTTTATTTTCAGAAAACAGTGTCTCATCTTGAGTCACTCCTTTGAAATACAAATCAAATCTATCTAAAGAACTCCACACTTCACTTCTCCCCTCTTACTTTCTATTCTGTAGTCTTGATGCAGTGTTTAAATCAGAGGACTGCCGACTGGAAGAGAGGAAGTCTTACCTGTCTCACACCTCTTCCCTGTGAAGCCTAGCTGGCAGATGCAGTTGTTAGGGGAGATGCAGGTTCCTCCATTCTGGCACAGGCCATCACACATCGCTAGAGGAGGACCACAGGTAACAAAGTGATTATTCAACGTTAATTTAGCTAGATTAACATTTTAATTAGGCCTACAGTATATGTCTTAGAAAAAAGGGGTTTTTCAGCTTTTTTGATTCATTTATTTCAGTGAGATAAATTAAATATAAATTGTAGAATTCATCCACTACTTGTTGGATGGTTAGTAATGGTCTATCCATTAGGGAAGGGGTACCAGAATGAAAAAGGACCTTATCTGTACTGTATCTGTGTGGGTCTGGTCAGTAGGATCTCACCTTTGCAGACGGTACCATTGCCAGTGTATCCCGGCTTACAGGAGCAGCTGTGTCCCCCCACCGTGTTGAAACAGAGGGCATTCTGGTTGCAGCTGTGCAGTCCGCTCACACACTCATCATGCTCTGGAACAGCAAAACAACCAGACAGAACAGCACCTTTAAACAAAACTTTTCCTTACACAGGTCAATCACACCTTAACAGCAGGAAGCAGAGAGAGGCAGACACACACTACCATCAGTACCAAGCAGAACACTGAAGACA